AAGGTAAGGCTGAGCAGCAGCACTTGGCGGTGGGTACCACTGGGCATGGGGCGCTGTGCTCCCCGGTGGCATGCCAGTGCCGCTGCCAGCATGTGCAGCGCTGAGAGCAGCAGAGGCCGCCCAAAGCCATGCACGGTGAAAATCCACTTGTTGACACTGGACATGCTGGCTCCCGCCAGCAGCCACACCAGTGCTGCCAGGGCCACCCGGGTCCGGCCAGGCCTCCCAGGGGCCTGGTGGGTATCAGGGGGCCACTCGGGGGACCCAGCCACCCGAGCACCGCTAGTCTCTGTCACTGCCTCAGCAGAGGTCATCCTGCCGTCATGGTGCTCCAGAGGACAGCGGCACATCCGGACCAGCGGGGCTGGGGCAGGAGGCCAGCTCCCCAGTAACCAGCTCTGAGCTACCAGAGAGCCCCTCCGGTCCAGGCCAGGTCCTGGTTTCTCGGATCCAGACTTTCCTTTCAGACAGGTGAGATAACCACTTCTTCTGCCAGGCCTGTGCCAGCTGAGGTCCTAGAGCTGTGTTCCAGCTCAAGCAGGGCAGAACCTGGGTGGAGGTTGCTGGAGATGCCTGGCTCTCTGGTGCTCAGTCCTGGCCTAGTAAGCTCTGAGCACCTCTGCCCCCTGCCAGGTGAAGTCTCTGCTCTTCTTCCTGCCTAGTGTCCACACTATATTGGATAGAATCCTTGTTCCTTTTCCTCTTTGGTCCAGAATCCGCGATCGCCTGCGTGTTCAGGCCATGCCCAGGCCTGGCAGGGGTGATTCAGCCTTCCGTGCCCGTGTCCAGTGGTGCCTGGTAGTCGCGGTTTGCTGCCTCCGACCGTGCCCAGGCCCGTGCTCCGGCCGGTGCCAGGCGGTGGGCTCGGCTCGGCTCCACTCCCGCAGGGCCTATCCTCCAGCTCTCCGTGCTTCGGCTGCGGCTCAGCCTCGGCTGTGGATCAGACAGCAGCTCCCGCCCGGCTCCAGCCCGGGCCCGCCCAGGCGTGTGTGGCTTCACGATCTTGGCCCCGCCTCCGCTGCCGCCACCGCCCGCGCGCCACCCGGAAAGTTGGGTTGAGCCCCTGGCCCCGCCCAGGCCAGGCTGCGTCGCGGGAGCTGGGAGCGACGTTTAGCCCCGCCTCCCCCTCCATCACACTCTTCGATCTGCCTTTTTTTCCCTCCTTCAGTAGACTCCCCCTGCAGCTGAAGTGGTCAGCCTGTCCGTCTTTCCTCCGCCGATCTGGTGGACAATCAGATCCCTCCCCACCCAGAGCCAAGACTAGTCTCCTAAAGAGACCAAAACAGGGAAGGAGACACTGGAGCATCTTTTTTGAGAGAGCCCAATAAAACCCCTAGCATCACAGGAGACTCCATCTTCTAGGACCCTCCCCCCAGGGGCCCCCATCCCAGGGCCGGTCTCTAGCCACAGTCATCTCGTGGGACCTCAGCATTCAGAAGAGTTGGACTTCGGGACCCTTAAGGCCTCTCCATTGTCCCTCCCTAGTCCCAGAACCTCCTCTCTCCCCAGCCCAGGGTGTGCCCCCTTCTAGGCGGGCAGAGGAAGCTGAATCACCAAGGCTACAAATGCGGAAGCAGGGTAGCGCTGGCCAGTATCCATCCCTGGCCAGCCCCTGTCCCATCTCCTGGGCACTCAGAGCTGACTCATAACTGGACTTGTTGGGGTCCACCCTCTGCCCTCAGCCCTGGCAGGACAAAGAGCCCTGGGTTGGCTGGGAGGCAGAGTAGCTGCCACTAAGCCCTTGCCCCTTCCTGGGGCTCAGAGTTCACGTCTGAACGAGGGATGCCCCAGCGCAGAACAGGCTGTTGAAGATTTCAAGCTCTGCATTCGCCTCTCTGAGCTCTAGCCAGGTGCCAAGTGCCGGCTGCCAGAGTCTTTCCGGATGTGGGATTTCCTCTGCGGAAGCTCCTCCCCACTGGATTCGGTTTATCCTTAGCCTGTCTTTGATGACAGCAACCTGTCTACAAGAACAAGACCTTACAGAGCGACCAGTCAGCCCTGTGCGGGCGCCCTCTGGTGGTCAGAATGCGAAATGCCTGCAAGTGTCCCCAACCCTCATTAAGCATACTTGAATCTGAATTTAAAAGCCCGAGCCTCACCTGAGACCTGCTCAATCAGACGCTCTATGGTGGGCTCAGGAATCTGAGTTTTCACATTTGCCTCTGGTGATTCTGACGCCCGCTGGAGCCTGCAAATCACTGCTGAATATGCCAAAATGTATGGCAGGGGATTTACAGGCCAAGAACAAAAATATGGGGGTATTTAGACAGAGTTTCTCCACAAAGGGTTATAGGAGGGAAACTGAGGCAGCCAAAGGAACATGGCTCTCCCCTCACGTTTCCTGAATAGGAGGAATCAAGGCCCCTTAAGGGTTATATTTTTTTGTGGAATTCTGTCGGGTTTCCAGTAAGTTTCCTTTAATTAAAAAAAAAAACAATAACAATGTTTATAAACAATAAACACCCTGACCTTCTCAGAGCTGAGCTGGTGGGGGAGTTATGGGCAGTGCCCATCTGTCTACACCTCCTCCAAGACTGTCACAAAGTGGCTCCCACCTGCCCTGCCCGGTGAGGGGTCAGCAATGAAGAATGAAGATTAACCAAGATGAAGCCTGGGTGCCTTGGTGGGGTGGAGAGAGCTGCCCGGGAAGGCCGAGGTCAGAACCCCAGGCAGGTGGCCCAGCAGATGATCCCAGATGGCAGTCCAGAAGGGCCAGGGTGCAGACGGATATGACACCACTGGCTGCCAGGCACAGAGGGCTCCGTCCACCCGCTCTGCAGTTATTCCTGGGGTGCAGTGCCACAGAGAGCTCAGTGAGGGGTGGAATCAAGGTGCCCAGGGCACCACTGGGGAATTTAGACCCAGTCTGTCTGGCTCTGGAGCCCCAGTTTTTAACCTGGGCGCTCCTTTCTGGGAGAAGAGGGGTTGAGGTGCCCAGCTTCATGGAGGGCATCAGGGGGCTCCCTCTCATTCTTTGAGGTCCACCTGCAAGCCCGGGACATCCCAGAGCACCCTGCCTTTGCCCACAGGCTCCCAAATGCCTCATATCTGAGTGCTTCCCTTTGGGGAACCACGGTGCTGCTGTGGAAGCAGGCGATTCAGGGAGAGATTCTGGGAGGCACAGGAGAGGGGAAGGACCCATTTCTAGCAATGGGGCTACAGAGGCTGCGGGACAGGCCTCCCCTATTTTCGCTGCATGTCCCTAGACAAGTCACTCCTGGGGTGTCCATTTATCCCTCTGTGATCTCTGATGAGGTCACAGGTATAAACATGCTGTGTCAGCCAACGTACCATTGCATTCCCGGGAGTAAGAAATAGGCTGAGAGAAGGGAAGTGGTTTGTCTGGAGTCCTCCAGATCTAAACACAAGCTAAACTCTGTCCTGCTCCCTGGTCCCCAAGTAGGGCCTCTGTTTAGCAGACTGCTCTGGACTGTTCTCTTACCCACACCCATGCTCAGGGCCCCAGCCAGTTGTGCCAGACAGACACCCGACCCAGTGTCCATAGGTGGGCTGTGCTGGTCAGGCCCCCCACCAGGCTCTGGTGCACAGACAGAGAATTAAAAAAGGGTTTGGGGATTTGAACCAAGAGGGGACATAGTCATTGTTGGGGCCACATGCAGACTGAAGGTGATGTGAGGACTCGGAGGCCTGAGGATAGTGGAAGTGACAGACACCTGAGCCCCGACTTCCATTTCCCGGCTGCTCTTGGCTGCCCCCAAGCTGGTGAACTGGGTCTTTTTAGCAAAGATCCTTTGATCTGATCAAGATTCAGTGACCAAACACAACCGAGGACAGTCTCTCAGGAGGGCGGGTCATACCCAGTGAGTGGACTCTTGAAAGCTGAGTGCAGGGGCGTTCCCAGTATCTACCGCCCACCCTCTCTCTAACCGGGCCCAGAGCAGCCACAGACATTCTGTCCTGCGTGGGTAGGGTTTGCGGCTTTCTCAGTTGATGTCTCAGGGGGTGACAAGGTGGCAGGGTGATGAGCTGGCAAGTGACGCAATAGTCGAGGATCCAGGCTCTGCTCCCTCCACGCTGTGTGACCTGAGGCAAGCTGCAGGTCTGAGTTGCTACTCTTCTGTGATGAGGTCGTAAGGGGAGAGTCATAGGGCGGGTCCTGGGTCCTCCTGGAAGAACCCCAGGCTGTGGTTGTGGGAGGACAAGCCCTCTGGGTTCTGGACACTGACAGCTCACTTAAGAACAGAGGCCTCTTTTTCATCTGGGCTTTCCGACACTTTGATGTTCATTTCAAATACAAAAGAACGGGTAAACTGCCTATTTCCGCTACCTACCTGGACCCCACATATTCGAAGCTGGCGTCTAGGAAGCAGCATGTTTCATCCGTGGTTTCAAGGACTCCGTGTGCATCACTGTAAAACCTGACGGACATGCTGCCAATCAGGGGCCCCTCTGGCTTCAGGGGGATGGGGTGAGTAGGATGTCTCTGTGGCCTGAACCCCAGTTTCCAGAGGATAGCCTAGAGTCTTCCCACTGAGAGGCAGGGTCCCCGCACCCTGGCTGCTAAGGCTGGGGTTGGTGTCCTGATTGCGCTGGGAAAAGCCAGGGGTGAGAACCCAAGCTCCAGGGTCCCAGGCCTCCAGTCGAATTTGGTCTCTGCCATGTAATCATGACAATCATTGAAGCCTCCAGTTTTCAGTGTTTGAGTGAAGGAGCCAAGAGGCCACGCAGGCCAGGTCTGTCTGTCCCCTAAGCTGTGCTCGACACTGTGGTGTCTCATTTGCCCTCTTTGAGCACTAGCTTTCTTAACTGTAAAGGAGAGATGACAACAAAAATATCAGCGACCTCAAAGTCATGCAAGAAAGTGTCTGGCCAGTACATGCTCCTAAATGGCAATCAACGTCGCCACTGCCAGCATTGTTTCCCCAGGACTCAGAAAACTCACCCACCCTCCTCTGTTCCCTGCTTGGAGGAAGCCCCCCCTTTCTCTGCGCCACGGCACCTGCACTGGCTCCCCAGCATGAGGCACCAGGACGCTGGGGCACGTGCTTAACCAACACTTTAATCATCCTGAAGGGAGGCTTGGAGCAGCCCCTCAGGGTCCTCGCCAGCTGCTACATACACCACAGAGAGCTCTGGGGCCGCTGCCTGCCAGTGCGCAGGAGAGGTAGGCTCAGGGCTGCGGCCCCTGGGCCATACAGGTCTCCTGGTGGGACCCTAATCTCAGAGCAGGTGGCACTCAATGCCAGTGGCCAGCAGACTTCCTGTGCTAAGAAGTCTGAGATGCTTCGTGCCCTGCAGACCCCAAGTGGCCTTCACGGGCTCAGTCACAGAAATTCCAAGGAAGATGCTTGGCCCCCTTCTCCCAGGTGGGTGGTGGCTCAGGAGACTTGCAGGGGCGGTGGCTGGGTGATCTGAGGACGAGGCTCCAAGTGCACGTGAGGTGGAGGTAGGATCAGGCGCGTGCCTGCTTCGGAGATGTCTGGACGGAAGGCAGGAGTACAGAGATTGTTCGAGGCGGCTGGGGTTGGTGAGCTGGGGGGCTACCAGACGACCAGCCTCAGCTCGATGACTTCTCCATTCTTGGGTCTATAGTCAGCAATCCCTGCAGAAATGGGTGGAGCAGGGGTGTCAACAGGGCAAAGTGTCCCACCTCCCATCTCAGCTTCTGGACCTCCACCTGAGGCCATGGTTTGTTAGATCTGCTCAGGGCTTGGTGGTAGAAAAGTGGGGGCTGTCCAGAGCCAGTGTGGAGACTCTGAACTCAGCCGTGACCCAGGGTCCCTGGAGCCCACAGCCTCATTTTGCAGTGGGGCACTCTCCAGAAGTTGGGGGTGAGGGACAGCATCCTGGATAACCAAGGTGAAAGGACCAGAGACCTCAACAGCACCCGGTGGTCACTATGTTCAGATTCTCCGAGGGGCTGCCAGGAAGAGGGACTGTTCCGTGTGGTGTGGAAGTGAAACCAGGACCACAAGTGAAGTCTCCCAAACCGCACTTGGCCCAATAGCTGCTACCTGGTAAGTGCTCAGCCAAAGTTCCAGGTAGCAGGAGTGGGGACAGAAGACCTGTAAGGGTCTGTCTGGTGACTGAACAGTTGCACAAGGACACTCATGACAGTTTGGGGCATAAGACATAGAACTGGAGGCAACCTAGAGGTCCACTGGTCCTGCTCCACCCCCCCCCCCTTTCACAGCACATGGCGCTGGGTGGGCCCTGATTGGCCTAAGCAAGTCATGTGGTGACCCCTTCTCTCCAGCCTACTGAGGCTGCTGAACCTGGGCCATCTTTCAGCCATAGGGATGGACCCAGAAATGCGCCTGTGTCACCATTCCACCTTCGAGACACCAGGAGAGGTTTGCTGGGGAGTCAGACAAGTCTCTTCAGTCCTAAAAGGGAACAGCCCTGGGAAGACACAGAGGGACCTCGCTGGAGCAGGAAGCTGATCAAGAGACGGGGTCAGAGTCCCAGGGAAGTGGGCTGGAGCCCGGATTACACCAGCCTGAAGTCCTCGCTCCCTCTGGACTCCAATCACATGGGCCAATAGGTGTCAAATTGTGGAAGCTGGTTCGCATTGCATTTCTTGCTACCTGCAGCCCAGAGAGCCCTAGTGGATAACATATTCTATGTGGTCATCACCAAGATATGAGAAGCTCTACACATACCAGCACAGAAGGATATCAATAGTGTATTAAGAATTAAAAAAATAAATTGCAAAACAGAATATAGAGCTGCACCATCTGATATGCCAGCCATTAGCCATATATGGCAACTGAGCTCTTGAAATCTTTGTTTTAAAAAAAGCACGCAAGCCCTGGCTGGTGTAGCTCAGTGGATTGAGCGTGGGCCTGCGAACGAAAGGATTGCGGTTCGATTCCCAGTCAGGGCACATGCCTGGGTTGCAGGCCAGTTCCCAGCAAGGAACCCACCAGAGGCAACCATACATTGATATTTCTCTCCCTCTCTCCTTCCCTTCACCTCTAAAGATAAATAAATAAAATCTTACAAAACTTAAAAAGCATGCAAAATGTCATTAATAATTAATGATTTCCCTCTTGGGATGATAATATTCGGGATATACTGGGTTAAATACGATTATATTGCTAATATTAGTTTCACCAAGTAGAAAATTTAGAATTGCATGTGGGGACCACATTTGACCTCTGTTGGACCACATTGCTATAAAGTATGCCTCTGTTTTATTTTTATGAAACAACTTACAAATTTAAAAACTATCTGGGAGAAAATACACCAAAAGTTAAAAGAAGTTAGTTCTGGATAGCGAATTACAGGTGATTTGAATTTTCTTCTTCTTCTTTGCTCATCTGATTTTTTAGAGTTGCCACACTACCTTGCATAAAAATTCTTAAGAATTCAGTAAATAAATTATGTGAATGTGAGCATCAGTGTAACCCAAGGCTGGGGCCCAGGAAGGTTTGGGGGACAGCTGCATTTTGGGTCAGGGCTGTGGTGGGGGGCACGCCCAGACTCACCTTGCAGCAGCGGGGTGTCGGGGGCTCGGATCAGTTGCCAGAACTCACGTTCCCCTACTTCTTTGCCCATCACGGAGGTCAGGTAAGGGCCTGACGAGGAAGCCTGTGTTCCATACCTACCAAAGGGACAGGAGAAGAAGGAGAAAAGGTGACTTTTGGACCCAAGGGCAAAAGCGATGCTCATCCACACCAGGAGCTCAAGGCCAGTCGCTAGCCACACTCTTCCTGGGCTGCCTTGCCAAGGGTCTCACCTCCACCCCTCTTCTCCAGTGCCACTGACACTGCCTAATCAGGTGACTTCATCCCCTCTGTGTTGACCACGACCATGGTCTGCAGGAAGGAGCACCTATTATTACACTATCAACCCAGCAGCTGGCCCGTCTCTGAGGGCTGAGGTTGCAGAGGCAAGAATCAGAAGCTGCCAGCATCACACGCAAAATGCCAATGTTCAGTGAGAGAGGGAGGAGCCAATGCACAGAGAGAAGCTGGACCGAGGGTGGGGGGAGGGGAGGCATGTGGCAGTGGCACCAGATCCCTGGTGCTGGAAGTTTCTGTGGTTCAGTGGTGTTCCTCTCTTCTTGTGGCTGCATTGCTTCTCTCTGACTCTACCTACACCATGCTCCTCGTTCCCAGAGAGCACTGCAGTTAGGTTTCTGGCCCTTGCAAACAAGAATCTCCTCAATCACACCTCCTCTGCAAACTCCTTGCCTCTAACTTTGCATTTCTCCAATCCATCTGGACATCACCGCCAAAGAATGCTCTCAACGCTTCATGGTCATGCCCCTCCTTTCTCCAAAAGGCTTATCAATGGATTAGGTTTTAGAGGAGGGTAGTTTGTAATTTTAAGAAACAGAAACTCGCCCTGGCTGGTGTGGCTCAGTGGATTGAGCACAGGCCTGCGAACCAAAGGATCGTAGTTCAATTCCCAGTCAGGGCACATGCCTGTGTTGCAGGCCAGTCCCCAGCAGGGGATGCATGAGAGGCAACCATACATTGATATTTCTCTCCCTCTCTCCTTCCCTTCCCCTCTAAAGATAAATAAATAAAAATCTAAAAAAGAAACAGAAACTCATTCAGGGTGACTTAAGCAAAAGGAAAGTATCATTTTAGGGGGTGTCAGGAAACAACCTCCTTTCCCCAGTCATTCCCTAAATCTGTGGGGCCATGTGGTACCTAATATTGGGGGCGGGGGCCACCTGGCTGCTCAGAGTACTTCTCTGGGCACACTGTCTGTCTCTGTTTTTCTCTCTTCTCTCTCTTTCTGGCTCTGACTCCCTGGCCTGAAGTTTCCTGGGCCCAGATGACCCCAAGGGGCCGGCTGTGGGCCCTCCCTGAGTGCAGGAGGCTGTCCCCTGGGAAATCCAACCAGGGACAGAAATCGGGGCCCTCTCACACTGAGGCACGTCTTTCAGAAGAGAAGTCTGGGAGGCCGGATGGAAGGCACCGAGCCTCCCTGGGCCAGATTCCCCACTGTTAACACGAGGGGCACTTCCCATCTCATGTAGACGTGATCCCGGTTCAGGGATGTGAGGTCGGTGGGGTGAGTGCTGGGCGCGAGGGTTCTCACGTGAATCCTCCGAGCTCCCCGGCCTTCTTCAGGACATCTTCCAAGGAGGACCCAGCAGGGACAAGGATGGAGTGTGTGTATCTTGGCCAGACACTGGGGACCGTCAGCGTGACCTGGATGACCTCTGGGGCTTCAGTCTGTGAGAGGGTCACCGTAGCTGGTTCCAACATGACTGTACCCGGGAGAGAGGAAGCACCAGCTAGTGTGAGGGCAGGGGGCCTGGCGGTGAGTCCTCCTTCCTTCCCTCGAAGACACTGTGACCGATCAGGACCTCTGCCTTCCACGTGGTCTCAGCTCAGTCCGCACCACCACCACCTGCTCAGCCAAAACCTGGCACCATCCCAGGCTGCCCCATCCCTTAGCCCCCAGGGTCGGGCCCCTCATTGGTTTCTCTGCCTCCAGTGACCCCCTCCCACCCATCTGCTACACAGTACCCCAGAGGGCTCTTTCTAGAATATGCATTTGCTCATATCACTCCCCCATCCTCCCTGAGTTCTCCTTTCCTTTTCATTCTCCTGCCTGCCACTCTAGCTCATTCTTGCAGACCCTGCTCTCTAGAAAGACCCCTCGCCCAAATTCCAGTCTTCACACCTCTGTGCCTTTGTTCTTGTTGCCTCTTCTCTGCTCTCTTCTCCTCTGGCAAATCCCACTCACCAACCAAGGGAAAGCCCCGATTTAAGCTGCTAATTGGGACTCACTATGTATAAGAGCTAACCAAAATGTGTCACTCATTCATTCATTCATTCAAGCATTTCTGTCCTGGGTATCGCAGCAGGGCTGAAGATTTCTGGCCCGCTCAGAGCTCTCCATTTGGTGTCTCCCTCCCCACACTGTGAATTTCTAGAAGTTATGACCACCTCTTAGCTGCCAACGTGTCCTACGCACACCCGCAAACCCCCATTGATTCAGCAAATCTGGACCAAAGAACCAGCCCTCACTGGGCCATGCAGACTTCAATAAGTGCCCTGCAGATCGAAAATGGCCAAGCTTTCATGAAAGGCTTGGCTACCTCTTGGTGCCAGGCAGTCTGGGGAGATAAGATCCACATAGCTCTTGTGGTTCAGGACAGGCAGTAGCTGGGAAATCATGAGAGCATTCTGGAAGGCCCCATCCCGCAGGCTGGCCAGCAGAGCAGCCCTCGCATTGAGGCATGCCGTGCCCAGCTCCACCCCAGGAATAGGGGAGGTCATCAGCAACTGGTGACAGAATGGGAGAGAGAAAGAGGAGGTGGGTCAGCCAGCACGGAGAAAACAGTTGAGCAGCCTACCTCCCACCAGCCACCAGCAGGGCCCACAGTCCCAGCGTCTCTTTCCCACCTGCAGCGCCAGAGGGGTGCTGTAGATATTCCCAAAGGGGCCCTCTGGAGTCTGGGCCTTCAGGATATTCCCCTTCACTGTCCTGATGGCCAGGGTGATCCGGTCTCTCAGATTGGGGTTGAGGTTGGAGCGCTCCAGACAGGTGAAGGCCAAGCCTGCCATGGCCATTGTATCTGCAGGGGACAGAGCCAGTGGGAGCCAGCCCAGGCAGGGTGCAGGGGCAATGCGTGGCCACAGAGGGGCTCGAAGAAGGGAATCAACATGGTCAATCAGCATTTTAGAAAGCTTCCACCAGCTAGGGGGACCAACTCAGCTGAGTTTGCCCAAGACTTTCCCAGTCTGGACACTGTAAGTCCAGTGTCCTGGGAAACACCTTAGTTCTGGGCAAACTGGGACGGTGGGTCACCCTGACCCTATGTACTGCTTGGTAGTTAGAGGCTAGGGAGAGACTGGAGGAGGAAGGCCCAGAGGACTTTATCCTGCACCGTTCACTCCCAAACCTGCCTGCACACTGGAATCACCAGGCGAGTTTTACGTGGACTGCTGCCCAGATTCACCCCAAGGCGGCCTGCTTCAACAGGCCCAGGGCACTGCCTGGGCCCTGGGGATTTTTTAAAAAGTTTAATTTATTCATTTGCTTTCAGAGAGAGTGGCAGGGAGGGAGAGAGAGAAGGAGAGAAACATTGACGTGAGAAAGAAATTTTGATTGTTTGCTTCCCATACACACTCTGCCTGGGGACTGAACCCGTCACCCAGGCACGTGCCCTGACCAGGAATCAGACCTGTGACCTTTCACTTTGCTGGATGATGCCCAACCAACTGAGCCGCACCAGTCAGGGCGGCCCTGGGGATGTTTTTCTATAAGCTTCTGAGGCAGAACAAGGGCCCTGCTGGCAGAGGCCCTGCTGCCTTCTTCTCTCTGGGCCTCCGACCACCCCTCTAACCTACTCCACCCTCCCCCGCCCTCTGGGAGGCACACCCACACTCACTCACAGAACAGGCCTTGAAATACAAGGACCAGAAGGGCATGGGAGGCCCGGGGTCACACAGTGAGGAAGCGGATCCAGAATCCAGGTCTCAGGCTTCCCAGCTCACGCGATGACAGATCGCAGCTTTCTATCCAGAACTTTCTCCATGCCAGACATGGTGCTAAGCCCTTGACTCATGGGGCATGTTTTAGTAAGACACTGCTGGGAGGTTATTTTATAGGACAAACTGAACCAGAAAGGCCAGCTGACTAGTCCAGGGCATCCTACAATGACCACAGAGCTGGGGTTGGGACCCCAGTCCAGCTCCAGCTCGGGTCACAGTTGCTGCACCACACACAAGCCCTCACCGTTTTGTTCCTAACGGACTCGATAAGGAGGGGTGCCAGGGACAGGTGAGCATGGGGCCAGGGGGTAGCGGCCTTCAGCTGGGGATGTGAGCTGCAGGAGCCCCAGCTGGGCCTCGTGGGGTCTGGCCCACTCACCCACAGACTGGTGGCCCTGGTGAAGATGGTGGTCGTGTTCCATGGCGTACAGGAGCTTGCCAACCACGCTGTCATGGACTCGCTTCTGGTGGAGACACAGGGCCAGGAGGCTCAGGCCATACTGGTAGTAGCTGGTGTGGGGCTGGCCCTTGTGAGTATGCCCTGAGAGAGAGAAAACCAAGGGGCGAGGGGGTCACGCCGGGCTGGAGGGGTTGCCTCTCTGCCCCCTCCCAGCAACCAGCCCCACCAGCACACAGGACCCTATGGCCTATACTTTCCAACATCCTCCTTTGGGTCATGGGATCCTTCAGTCCTTCAACCCTTACTTGCTGAGGCCTCACTAAGTGTCATGTGCTGTGCCTGGAGGTAGGAATACATGACAACGGGCCAGGCACAGTGCATCTGGGGCCTGTGACAATTATACAGTCCACACTCACGGGAGCATGGTTAGAACTGAAATGTGGATGGAGGTCCATGGGGCAGTACAACAAAGGTCTCTGAATATCGCAGGAGTCAGGGCAGCAGTCTCTAAGAGGGTAATGCTGGGGAGGTGAGGCAGGAGAGAGCTAGAAGGGGGGGAAACCTCCCAGAGACAGGGAACATATACAGAGACCCTGATTTGGGAGCTAAGAGATGGCCAGTGTGGCTGGAGCCCATGGAGAAAGGTGGCGTGAGTGTGTGAGCCAGAGAGCGGGCAGGCAGAGCCCAGAGAGGAGAAAACGACAGACAGGCTGGGCCTGTGGGCGGTGAACAGAGCAGTGAGCAGCCCCTGTAGGATTGAAGCAGCTCTAAAAGATCAGATTTATATTTTAAATGCTCGCTTTGTGTGTACTGGTCAAGTCAGGAAGCAAGAAAGCTAGCAGAGAAAGGGTGAGGAGTAAGTATAAGAAGGCTATGCTGCTGTTCCAGAAGTGGATAGTCAGGTCAGTCCTTGTGGCTGAGCTGCAGAACTTGCTGACAGAGTGATGTGGAATGCAGGAAAGGCTTGATCAAGGATGGCTACCGGGGCAGGCCTGAGCCCCTAAGTGGATAGTGAGATAGGCAGAAGGAGGGCTGGAAGGAGGCCTAGGGAGAAACCCCGAGTTCTGATGAGCCCTCCCCACCCCTGGCAGATTAAATCCCCTCACCGATGGCCCTCTTCTCGTCCTCCAGGAACCGCTTCAACTGTGAGACCAGCCTGTTGCCCTTGTGGCCTCCAGCGAACTCGCAGTTGGCCCTGAGAGCGAGCATGTAGAAAGCCAGCTGGCCCATGGAGGGCTTGGTCTGGAGGTCACCACTGTCATCGCTGGAGACAAACCCAGGACAAAGCCAGTTAGCAACACTTCCAGGACAAAATGCCCCCCCCCAGATAAACCTGGCTTGGGGTGCCCACCCTCCCGGCACTGCAAAGTGAAAAATATCTTAGCAGCTGGAAAATCTGTTAGAACCACCCAAAAGCAGATATAGTAAGCCATGTAATTTGGGAAGTGTATGCCACATATATTTTATCAAGATGAAAAATTAAACTCAAGGATAAACTCTGAGGGTTCTCCCATCCAAATGACCTGTGCTTACCCCACCCTTCACCCACGCCCTCCTCCCTATCTTTCTTCCCCATGCCCTGCATCCATTTCTCTAGAGGGAGTCCAATCAGGAGGTGCTCCATGATCCTTCATCTCTCGTTCAAATCCCTCCACTGGACCTCAGAACAGGCCTCCCCTTAATCCCTCTAGAAAGGGAGCACAGAGTCAGGTGCTGCTTCTGGGCTCGGTATGGAAGAGTGTGGTCATGGATTAGTGATGTCTGCCTCAGGTACAGGAGGGTGGGTGCAGGAGCAGCACATGGACCCTGTATCGGTATCTTCATTCCAGTTAAACCAGCCCCATTCTACAGAGGAGAAAAGGCCCAGAGGAGACAAAACTTGTCCGAGGTCTCCCAACCAAGCAGTGACGGGTGTAAAACCAGAACTCAGGTCTCCCGTCTCTTAGGGTGAGTAGCAGGGCATGGGAAAAGGGAAGAGAGAGCATGGCAATACTCCAGGAGGCTTTGCTGGTAATGGAGCTTGAGGCTGTGCAGGTAGAAGGCCTCCTTGGTGCTGGCCTCCAGGCTGGAGAGGCGCAGGCCCACGTAGATACTGGGGTTCAGGTACTCTGGAGAGAGCTGGTCCAACCAGGGCAAGAGGCGCTGACCCAGACTCTGCACCAGCTTGCTGTCCACTGCCGGTATGTCTTAGGAAAGAAAATAGGCCAAGTAAGGTCACAGGCCAGGCCACCCTGCAAAGAGCTCCTTTTACCTTACCAGGGCCTTCTCCGGGGAATAAGTGTCCCCACCCCCACTCCACCCAGAACAGACCCTATTTGTATGGGGAAATCTGGCCAGAACAAAAGGCAGAGGAGGGTAAAGAGGGAGAGGGGGGAAGCGGGTGTCCTGAAAGGGCGATTGGAGTGGCCCGGGGAGGAGTGGTGGGCCAAGTGCAAAGGAAGCCTGCGCCAGGCAAGTGCTCTGCCCGTGAGGAGTGACAGAGACCGGAGGCCAAGCCGTGTGGTGTGCCCCGGTCACTGTGCCTGACCGCACTCACTGGGTCCTCACGCCAGCCCCATGCTGTGTGTGCTGTCATCATGGCTTTGCACAAACAGGGAAACGGAAGTTCAAAGTCGTGTCCTACATGAGGCTGCTGAGCTGAGGGTGGACCTGCCTGCAAAGCCCCCACTGTGTGACACTCTGCTGACTGCCTGTTCTACCCATTTCCAAAAACTTCAACCCACATGGGGAACGTGTAACGCATCCAGTTGGTAAACACTGCCCACTGGCTACCTGGCGCTGCCTGGTGAACTTCCTTTATGCAGATCTCAAAATAACCCCTTTCCTGCCACCTCTGCTTAGGCAACGAGGACCCGAGATTGTGAGGTGAATTGTTAGAAAGCCATCACATTTTGAACCGTTTACCTGTGTGCTTTGGAATTTACCTAAAACTTCGTAACTAAAATATGAAAATACTTGGATGTACCCAGGAAGCTGAAGCCTTAGGGATACTTCCCAGCTGCAGGTGACCTATTTCCCAGACCCCACTGACCTCCATCCAACCTCTTCTTTTAGGGAAGGAACCTGAGCTTTGCAGCCACCTTGGACTTTCCCCGGTCTTCTGCCTCCAGGTCACTTCAGGGCTCCACCTGTGTCCTCTGTGCCCTGTCCCAGGATACCATGCAGGGCGCCCCTCCCAAAGGAACTGCCAGGCAGACTGCCTCTGATAGGGGGGCTCAAGAGTTAAAGGTTGTAGTTACAGTCCATAGACTTAAGTGATTAAAGCAGGTGGAAAGCCATTATTCCAGGACTGGCACGCGTGACCCACACGACCCCGGGAGTTTGAGAGGGAGATGGTGTCTGGAGACAGTGTCTCAGCCACCGCGTTCCAGGGAGGGAATGCTGGTGACCGTGATGCAGATAGAGAATTGCTGACCAGCAGGTAAGAAGGACTAGGAAATTCGCCTGCAACTGTTATCCGCTTAACCTTCTATCCCAAACCCTTTACCTACTCTTTTCTTCTCTTTATAAAAAGATTGACTTGAGATGAGAGGTTAAGACAGCTCGGAGTGTCCATACCGCACTGTTATCTCAGGTCACCAGCACCTGAGTAAAGCACCGGTGAAGATTCGATCCTTGTCTCTACTTACTGATTTTGGTAGTGACAGGCGGCACGAATGCCGACTTTTCTGGTTTCACCTCTGGGGCTTCCTCTCACACAGCCCCACCTCTGCCTGTGTGGGTCCTACCATCTCATGCCTATTTCCCCCAAAGTTGTAGATACCTGTTGCTATGACAGTAGGAAGGTAGGGGAGTGGAGTGGGGAGGTAAGTGGGAATTTTTCTTCTTGCCCTTTCCATCTCTTTGGGTCTTTCTCTGTGTCCGTCTCCTTCACTCAGCCTGTCTTTCTGGTCATCATCTGTCCTTTCCATATTTCTCTTTTTCCTTCCCTTTTCTTCAAAATGGTGAAGTAATCCCAGCCTCACCCTGGGGTCTGACCTCCGGCAGATGAGTCAGCCCTGGGGTTAGTGATAAGAAGAGAGTCTGGAGCTATAAACAGCCTCCTGAGAAGGAAGGAGACAGACAGAGTCGCCCAGGGTAATAAAAGCGGCCCTGGGCTAGCACTGCCCCCACCAGAGCCTCCCGCTCGCAGGGCCACGCAGCTCTGACTGGTGTCAACATTCCGAAGCACAGGAGCCTGCCTCGCACAAACATGGGTGTAGCACCCCTGTTACTTGCACAGAGCCTTAAGCCGGTAAAGCAGATGCATGAGATCCTGGCACACACAAAGGAGAAAGGCCGGGGAGCATTCTTAGCCCATTGTCCAGGTGAGCGAATGAAGCTGGAGGTGACTAAGTGACTCAGCAGTAGCCAGCTGCACGGACAAACCCAGTCCAGGGCTCTCCAGGCTCCATGGGAAGGGGACTTTTAAAATGTTCACAATCAGTGAAGTGGAGGACCAGATCCCTGGTCTACTCTGGGAACTATCCAGACAGGAACCAAGAGCTAAGGGGTCTGGCTGCACTTGTGGAGCCCAAGACCTTGCTCAGGAGTTCTTTTTTTTTTTTAATTATTTATTTATCTTTAGAGGGGAAGGGAAGGAGAGAGGGAGAGAAACATCAATGTATGGTTGCCCCTTGCGCGTCCCCTGCCGGGAACTGGCCTGCAGGGAACCTGCCTGCAACCCCGGTATGTGCCCTGACTGGGATTCGAACCGCGATTGTCTGGTTCGCAGGCCCGCGCTCAATCCACTGAGCTACACCAGCCAGGGCTTGCTCAGGAGTTCTGAGACCTGGAAAGCTGGAGCGCCTTGGGCAGGTCACCTAGCCCCTCCATGTCCCGGTGATAGGTGAAGCTGTCATCTATCACCTGACATGACTAAATCTGCCGTCTGGTTTCTCCAAGGATCACAGGAGAGCCTGGTGGTGAAAGCGTATTGAAGAGCATGACGCCACAGGCAGAGTATAAGAGGAAGGAAAGAGGTGGGTGGCCCCAGAGTTCAGAGGCTTTCCTTCTCGGCCTCGGCTTCCTGACTGGGCCCTGCTTCCTGTCCGGCCCCAGTGCCCAGGTAGCCACAGACCTGCGCACTCAGACTCACAGACCGGTCCAGAGAGGGCCCTGGGGGCCCGGCCCTTATATTACATAAGAATATAACGCAAATGTCTCACCGTGGCCCTCCCTGACCCTCCGGGACTCACCTCCCGACCAGGGTCTCCATACTCACTTCCCTCTGTCTGGGGGTCTGTCCCCTACCCCTCTCCTTGCCAGTTTCTTTTCCTCCTTGGTATTTCAGCTGCCACGCTGACCCCAGCTCCTTGGAAATCCTTCCCCAAACTTTGTGTCTTCCTTCGGCACTCACCTCAGCCCCCAAACACAGCACTGATTTGCTTCTTGACTTCCTTTGTCTGCTGCTCCCTTAGGACAGCAGCTTTAAGAGGGTAGAGACTGGATTCGTCTTGCTCTTTGGTCCTTCCCCAAACCCTAACACCATACCTGATACAGAGAAGGCTCCGTCAAGGTGTCTCGAGTGGATAAATGAACAAATGACTGAATTAATGGAGGGGACCATGTCTGGTGGGGAGTCAGACATATAACTAATCTCAATACAACATGCTAATCGCTGAGGTCCAGCTAAGCCCCAACTGCTTTGGGAGCCCAAAGGGGCAGGCTGGTAAGTCGTGCCTACCCCAACATCGGCACCTCAGTTTCCCCAGCTATATGATGAGGGGTTCGGACAAAATAGTCACCCCTCCTAAGGACCTGGGAGGCCAAAGGCACAGGGTAGGTCCAGCTACTTACGGCAGATATCAGCAAGAGCCCCCAGAGCCCCCAGCAGGAAGAGGAGGGCCCCAAGGTGTCCCATGGCAGCGGCAGGCAGGTGAGCGGCAGGCAGGGAGCTGGACACTCCTGGAGCTGGCCTTGCAGAGTCTGTCCTGATCACAGCTGGTCACTGCTCCCGAAGAGGCAGCTTCCTGTCACTGATTAATCTCTCCACGCCTGGCAGTGTGCTGTTAAGTCAGCAGAGAGAAAAAAAAAAGATATGTCTGTAGCTGAGAGGAAAGGAAGGCCAAAAAACAGAGGAAGGGAGGGCAGAGAGGTCTTCCTGGAGGTAGGGGCAAGGAGAGGGGGAGGGCAAGTAAGGGTGGTGGGAGACGTTGTTGAGGCCAGCCACATGCTGTCCTGCTGCCCGAAGAGCCTGCCACCCAATGTGCCCAAGTCAGTTTGACCGCATCTGTCTGGGAAGCCCCCGGCCGTTGCAGTGGTACACGGGCAGTGCGGGGGTGCTTACCTGTTGCCCCTCGCAGAAGGGGCCCCTGGAAGTGTCTGCCCCGGTCTGGGACGGAGCAGACCCCGGAGCGGTGGTGGTCACATGACCTGAGACTGCCGGAGCCGGCAGTCATCTGCCCGCCCAGATGGGTGGGGCTGGCTGGACCTGGATCCGAAGAGCTAGTTTCCTTAATCAGCCAAGCTCCCGGGAGACAAAACAAAACAAGTTAAGGAACGGAATTTAATCATTTGAGACACAAAGCCATGAGTAGCAAGGGTTTTTGTCAGGACTAGAAAACTAACCTAAAAAAAAAAATCTCTGCACGGAAAGAAAATGAAGGATTTCTTGTCTGCCTAGTCTCGCAGGAGAACTGATGTACGAGAGTTAACTCTGGCCCTGCTGTGTGACCTTGACCTGGTCACTCTGGGTAAGATGAAAGAGTTGGACAAGATTATTCTAACTAAGCTCCCTTCCAGCTCAACTTGTGAAGATGTTCAGCCTGTAAAACACCTCTAATCCTTTCCAAATAAGTGTTTTATTGCAACTGTTTTATGGCAAATGGCCAAGATTCATTCTTTCAAGATAATCTGCTTTTGTGCCTGACTTATCACAAGGCAAGCTCTTGGGATAGATAAATAACTGTCATATACTACATAACAACATTTCAATCAATGATGGAACTTATATACAACGGTGGTCTCATGAGATTATAACGGAGCTGAAAAATTCCTATTGCCCAGGGATGTTGTAGCCATTATGCCGTCATAGCACATGTGTTACAAAGCTCAGTACGGCTGAGATTAAGACAGGGAAGAACTTTAACCTGGATGTGGATGAGGATGACCCTGAGGAGCTCCTAGAGGTGGTTCCCAAGGAAACAACTGGCGAGCTGTTGGAACTGGAACAGAAACATTAAAGAAGAGGCAGAGAGAAGGCAACTATAGGAAAAGAAAAGGAAGACCATCCCCCAAGAAAATCCACAGGAAAGGGCTTGGCAAAAGCCTTCAAGCTCCTTAAAAATTTGAAAACAGGTCTCCAACACCAACCGATTTTCGTTAATAGGGAAGAACGTTCAAGGTGCATTATCTGCTTACAGGCAAGTTTATGGTGGAAAAAAGAAGCAAACCAAGCAAAGCATCATGGACGTACTTCTGAAAAGAGTAAAACCTGCTCTAGAAGAGCCTCGGGCAGGTCCTCCAGAACAAGGGATAGTTACCACAGGTCAGGACAGCTCCCTGGGTTTTTTGGCCCTGAAGACCCTCCAGGGGGACAAGACAGTGGGGGTGGAAGACAGTGATATTGATTATCCTGACCCTGCGGGGGGCCTACGCTAATGTGTGTACTTGTGTCTTAGTTTTAACAACAACAAAAAAATTTAAAGTAATACTAATAATAATAGAAAAAGACTTACAGAATAAGAATATGATGAAAGAAAATATTTTTGTACCGCTGTACAATGTGTTTGGGTTTTAAGCTCGGTGTTTTCAAAAAGTCAAAAAAATTTAAAAATAAAAAAATTTTTCAAGTAAAAATGTTACAGTCCCCTAAGGCTAATGTATTAGTGTCGCCTCAGCGATCGGTGTTATACGGTCTGCAGCAGTGCGCGCAGGGCCCTGGGCCTTGACGCTCGCTCGCCACTCCTCTGCGAATCACACAGAGCGACTGCCAGTCCTGCATGCTCCGTTCATGGTGAGTGCCCTATAAAGATGCACCATCTTTTATCTTTTGTACTGTATTTTTACAATACCTTTGCTACATTTAGACATGTTTAGATACCAAGTACGTACTGTCCTGTTATAGTTGCCCGCAGTATTCAGTGCCGTAAAATGCTGTGGAGGTTTGTAGCCCAGGAGCAGTAAGTAGGCTGCACCGTACCAGGTAGGTGTGGGCTGGTTACACTATCTAGATTTGTGTAAGTGTATTGTACGATGCTCGCATAACAACATTATCACCCCACGAAGCATTTCTCAGAAGGTATCCCTGTCGTCAAGTGACACAGGACTGTGTCAGATGTGCATCTGTTTACGGGAGTACTTTATACATTTAAAATTAGACCGTCTGGTGTAGAAAGGCTTGGTGTGGCCCATCAGGGTGAGATTCTGGAGAAGGAAGGAACCCCGCTGGCGGCCCAGCTTCTGCAGGTCTTGGGCTCAGAACTCCAGAGAAGCCACAGCAATCTGCGTGCAGTGGTACTGCTTTAGTCCAGGAGAGGACTGCTCCGGCCCCCCAATCCTCTGCCTGTGGTGACTGGTGGAGACGCTGGTTCCTGCCACCTTCTGGAGGGCAGCCTGGAAGAGGTGGCCATAGTTAGAGGCGGCTGGTGAGAAGAAGCTTCCTTTGGGCAGGTCTCCTCTGATCCCCGAGGACTCCACGTACCTCGGTGACCACCTGGGAGGAGGCGCATTTCTCATAGTCATTAGGAATAGAGTGACTGGGGGTGAACTGGGCTGTTTTACATCATGTAGTAAGGGAAAGTAGAAAAATTTTTAAAAAGTCTAAATCATTTGGTTCAGGATTTGCATTGGGGAGTCTATAGCTGAAAAAGTAAAAATGAACTTGGAGCAAGTAGGTAAAGTGCGCCTGGCCGTGCCTCAGAACAGGTGTGCATGAAGCCGCTGCAACATCAACGGGAAGCATTACTTCTACCAAGGTCGTGTGACAGCTGTAAACTGTCCCGAGGACCATGTTATCTGAGTGGCTATTCCTATTTTTTTTAAATTAAGAGTTCCCTTTTTTTCTCCCTAAAAATCACAAACTATCAGAAATTTGCTGTGTGAAATCCAGCTACTAAGAATGAAACATGCCCGGAGGAGCTAAGTCACTGTGTCACAGAGAAATCAGGTAAGAAGTTTCCGGACTGAACAACATTCCACACCGATCTTGACTTTGTAGTTTGCAAGGAAAAAGGCCTTTTGGGTTGACTTTGATGTCCAGACCTGAAGCTGACCCTTCGCATGCAGCTCTGCCCTGAGCCTCTCAAAACATTGCTTGGTTTACACTTCACCTAACCCCACCCTTCTCTCCAAAACTTCAATACTCTTTCCTTTTGTGTGGTCAGACACCCAGAGGTCCCCTGCTGGGAAGTCTCTGGCATTGCACTGTGTCAACAAAGCTGTCAGACTAAAGGTATGTTCCTGAGGGTCTTAGGCTGATTGCGCCAGGACATAGCCAAAGAAAGAATTCAAAAGAGAAAAGTAAAATTTTGTGCAGGAAGGTGGCATGAGAAGAACAGATATAACAATTACATGACTACATGGTTATATACGAAATATCCATTTTATTAATTAAATATGTAGACATACAAAATTCTTATTTTAGAGCTAATTTAATGTACAAAGGTGTTCATAATTATTTTATTTTAAAAATTTTATTGTGCCCTGGCTGTTGTAGCTCAGTGGATTGAGCGCGGGCCTGCGAGCCAGACAATCGCGGTTCGATTCCCAGTCAGGGCACATACCTGGGTTGCAAGCCGGGTTCCCTGCAGGCCAATTCCCAGCAGGGGATGCACAAAAGGCAACCATACATTGATGTTTCTCTCCCTCTCTCTCCTTTCCTTTCCCTCTAAATATAAATAAATAAAATCTTTAAAAAAAAATTTTATTGTTGTTCAAGTACAGTTGTCTGCATTTCCCCCCAACACTTGCCTCCCCACCCCAGCCATCCCCACCTACCTCCCAATTCTACCTCTGCCCCCATTGGTTTTGTCCATGTGTTCATTTTTTTCCTGAAATTCTGTCCCCCCTTTCCCCCCATTATCCCCTCCCACCCCACTCTGGTTACTCTCAGATTTTTCCATAATTAATCTTAAATTTAAAAAATTTCATAAATGACATGTTGATTGCATAAAAAAATAGAAAATACAGACTTGTTAAGAAAGAAGAAGAAGCAAGAAAAGGAAGAGAGTGGAGAAGGAGGAGGAAGAAAATAAAGAAAATTCTTAGTCCCAAACTCCAGAGAGCGGTTCAAAAAGTGTGGTCTTTGGATAGCTGGGGGTCTCCAAGACCCTCTAGGGAGTCTGCTAGTTCAAAATTACTTTAAAGTAATATTAAGACATAATTGGTCTTTTGCACTGATGGTGTCTCTACCAGGGCCCAGGGCCAAGCCAGGAACTTTCTTAGAAGGTATGTAATTCTCTGTGGTGGATGGCATGACCTTGCCACAGAATTCCAGAGCCCTGCACTGCGATTCTCCTACTGGGGCTTGCGAGAAGCTCCACTCTGCATCTTTCCCAGCACTGACTCAGAACCATAGGGCTGGTTGGATGTGATGGCCCAAGTGAGGAGCTGTTTGCTCTACTGCATGTTTGCTTTCTTTGCTTGTCCTGCCTGATCAGCATGAGACCAGTGGGCCCGATCAGTGTGATGTTCTGTGGGCCATCCAAGGGATCCAGGGCTCTTCAGACTGTTCTATGAGACAGGGCAAAAGAATTAACATATGCAAAACTCTGAATAATATTTTGTCCGTTCCATGAGAATGAGATCTGTTTCCGAGCCTCTTTCATAAATCGAATGGGAAAAAAAATGCACTCACTAAATCGATGGCAGCAAACCACATGCCTCAAGCTGTATCAATCTGCTCTAGCAATACCATTTCCACAGCAACTGTGATACTACTTGGTTGAGTTCACAGTCCTCCTCCAGAATCAAATTTCAATGGCAGTTTTTACAAAACCGAAAGTTTATCTTCAACTCATGTCAAACTGCAAGGGCCTCTTAACAGCCAAAACAATACTGGAAAAGGAACAGAATTAGAACATTCACACTCTTGATTTCAAAAACTTATCAAGTGGCTGTGAGCAAAACAGTGTGGCATAAGGATACACATAGAGACCAGTGGAATAAAACTGGGAGGCCAGAAATAAACCCTCGCATAGTATATGGCCAAGTGATTACGGACAAATTACTCATGTCATCACCTTTCTCTCCCACCCTCTTCAGTGAAGTTGTTTCACACGTTTGTAAAGCTGTTACATTGGTTTGTCACATTTTGCATTCCACCTGGGGTTCCACTGCTCTCCTAAGTTATTTTTGTTGATTTGCATACAAGATTTATTCTTTGTGCTGTGACATTCCACAGGTTTTGACAAACGCAGAATGTCATACACCCTCTAGTACCTAATAGTTTTACCACCTTAAAAATCCCCCTTAGCACCGAACCTCCGTGAACCATTGATCTTTTAAGTCTACATAGTTTGTCTTTTTGAGAATGTCATAAAATCGAAGTCTTATGTGTAGCTTTTGCAGACTGGCTCCTTTTGTGTAGCAATATGCATTTAAGATTTATCTATGTCTTGTTATGGCTTGATAACTCATTTCTTTTCATTGCCGAATAATATTCCATTTTGTGGATATACCACAGTGTGTTTATACGTTCACCTATTGAAGGACATCTTGGCTATTCTAAATTTTGGCAACTCTGCATAAAGCTGCCATAAACATTCATGGGCAGACTTTGTGTAGACATTTAGCATTCATATCAATGGAGGAAATACCTAGAAATGCCATTGTTGGCTTGAATGGTAAGACCACATCTAGCTTTGTAAGAAATGGTCAAAGTGTCTTTTAAAGTGGCTTTACCACTATTATCTATTTTTAAAATAATTTAAAAATATTTAAGTTGACAACAATCTATTTAGTTGGTGTTGTCCCTGTTTCACAAATGAAGGAGAGAGGTAAAGTGGCTTGATCACAGTTTCGAGGTAAAGCCAGGTGTGTTTGCTGACAGAGTCCAGGCCTCTTCACCACAGTGGAGATGGAGGTTTGGTATGTCACAAAGTATTCTGTGAGCGGATGGCTCTAATTGTTAGAAACTCTTTGCTTTGTGGATATAAACTGCCTTGCATGGTCTTGGAGTCACTAAACAGTTTGCAAAGGCAGAGAGGAGGGAACTAAGTGTTGCATGCCTAGGCCTATCCACAACTCGTTAGGCAGTGGGGTGTGGTTTCAGCAGCGGGCTCGGCAGCCAGGCTGCCTAATGAGAGTCCATTTTCCACTACTCAGCCCCTGAGTGATCTTCAGGTGAGTCCCTTCACTTCCCCGAACCTCAGTTTCCATATCTGTAAAATCCAGTACCTACATGACCTTTATCCTGAGCTGTAGACCTGAAGGTACAACTGCTTTCCTAGACATCTTTACCTGTATCTTCTATGACCCTGCAAATTCAACGTGAGCAAAATGGGATTCCTCCTGTGCAGAATGAGCTATGTGATCTTCGAGTGACAGTGAGAGATGAAATGCTGAGTGCCTTGGTGAAAAGTTAAGAATTTTAAAGACAGCAATGAGCACTGGATCAACACCAGACCATGGGCGACTGCCTAGGTCACATGCCTCTGACCCTGGCCTTGGTCCTGTAATCCTTGCATGAAACAGCCGCTACTGCCCTCTCAGATCCATTCTTCTACTCTCAGATCTCCTTCTTCTAGTCCTAAAGGAGTCTGTCTTTCTCTGAATCCGTCAAATATTTGCCTCTGGCTCGCACTGTCTGTTTCTCCGCCCCCATTACTAGTCCACTCCTCTTTGAAACACTCTCAGTCTCCCGCTACCACATGGCCCTGGTAATTCTCAAAGTCTTTGCCAGCTCACTTTCCCCGCCCCAGTTTTCATTTCATTTTTCACTGTGGAGTTCTTGGGTTTTAATTTTGTTCTGGCTTTAAAATAGATAATAAAATTCACATTGTTCAAAGCAAGCATTGGCCAATGATGTATCTTCCTCTAAAGGGTAAGTTCTATAACCATGACCTTGGGCTGGGTCACATTCACAAGGGCCTCAAATTTAAAAATTTGAGGTAAACTTCAAATCGAGTTTGGAGCCCTGATGAAAAAAAAAACACCAAAGAACTTTAAAATTTTGTCTACTTAAGAAACCACATCACTTTGGTGTGAATATTTGTATAAATCTTGTAGTTATCTTTTGAGGAACACAGTACAAAATTCATATGTACATATTAAAAGTTCAAACGTATTAAATGTACATTTAAAATATACTATGAGTTCTATAACTCTGCTTGGCCTTTCCTCATTTTTTTAACCAGAAAATATAAGCTGCCTCTCAGGTTTCTCTGCCTCTGTAGGATGAATGTCTGCTTTTGCTTTATTTTATCCGCACAACAGCAAATGAATTTACTGAAAGGCCCGTGGCCGACGACTAACAGAATGCAACCTCATTTAGTGCCCCTAGCGGCAGCTTTTGAGAGTCAAGTGCTAAAATTCCGAAGCCGCCTAGCAACCGTTACCATAACAACATAACGTGCTCCTGCACCTCGAAGTATGGCTCCCCTCTGCATCCCAGAAGTCTCTGCTCTGTCATTAAGTTTTCTGCCCCCTTCCATCCCGACAGGCAACGGGGCTCAGATGTCACGCGTTAGGCATCAGGATAACTATAGAAATGCCTGAATACCTCCCTTCGCTAAACGTTAAAACTGTCTGTAATAGACTGATAGTTGGGAAAGACTTCGAAAGAGCAGTCTTACTGATTGTTTTCCTCCTTAAATCTTGAGGAGGAAAGCCCCATCTATTCCTAGACTCGCTCGGGCACTTTGTTGGGCAGCCTGTTCAGACGGCGCCGTTGGGGCCTCGGGGCCTTACGCACGGCACGTGCAGGAGGAAGTGGCGCTGTCAGTCCGCGCACTTAGTATCCTCTTCAACGTGGAACCATGGGAGGCCTGGAGAAGAAGAAGGTGAGTCGCAGGGATCCCGGGCGGGTTTGCTAGGGGGCCTTGGGAGGTAGGAAACGGGTGCGACGGAGCCTGGGGACTGCGCCTTTCCCCGGCCTTGGTCTCTTTTGGTTACCGAAACGATTGGGGTCAGCGCGACGGGAGAAGGGATCCGATCCGAGGATGTGCAAGGAAGGCAGTACCTGTCCGGTGAAATCCGGGAAGGAACCCGGGAGTAGGGATGTAAGAGAGTTGACAACCAAGTATAACTTTACCCCAAAAGGAGGCCTAGTCTAGGGACAGCTGTATACTAAGTAAAGGGTGATACACACTACATGAAGTTCTCCGTTACATAGAATTCATCATCTCAAAAACTTGTCATCCCCCTTTCTCTGGAACCAGGCCCTGCCCTGGACACTGGGGATGGAGATCTAAACAGTCAAGTGTGGTACCTGATTTCCCCAAGCTCTTTTTCTAGTGGGGAAGATGAACACTAAAATAACCAGATAGAACTCAGAAGATTGTCAAATGATCCAAAGACCAGAAGTTCTCAGGTGGGCTCTGGGGCACAGCAATGTTTATTGAACAAGCATGGCAGGGAAGCTAAGTACCAAGGCCCTTAGGTAGGAAAGGCTTGCTGTTGGCAAGGAATCGGAAGGACACCGTGATTGCTGGGGTATAATAAATGAAGGGGAGAATGGCATCTGCTGAGATTGGGGTTGGAAAGGGACCGGATCTTGGAAGGCCTGTCAGCCACGGGATAGAGCTTGGGTTTTGTTCTAAGCACAGTAGGAATCAGCTAAACGGGGAGTGACCTGATTGATTTTTTAAGGAGTTCTTGGTGCTGTATGGAGAATCAGGTGGGTGTCATGAAAAGATTGGGGAAGGGATGAGGGTGAGGAAGATGTAGTTGCCTGAAGTATTTTCCTTTAGCTTGAAAGTTTCGTTTGCCAATTTGTGTTTAATCCAACACACTGTTGATCACCCAGTAAGCACTAGTGTTTGGAACTACAAAGATAGAAAATGGAAAGTCTTTCTTTGTGGTAAGTAAACAAATCATGGCAGCTTTCAAAGCTGGGTTTCAAAGCTGTTTTGAGCCAGGCAAGGCTGTGTTGTGAAAAGTGCACTGTGGGATGTTTAGCCACATCCCTGACCCTTTAACTCACTAGATGCCAGTAGCACCCAATAATCCCAGATGCCTCCCTGCCATACATACCTTGGAGTAAAATCACCCCAGTTGAGAATTGGACAATGGAAGACACTTTTAATGAAGACAACTTTCTGAGACAACTTGAGACTCATCTTTGTATCCCTAGGACTTGGCATGGGCCTGATAGACAATAAATATCTGAAGGAAAGAATGAATGAAGGGTGTGTTTTGTGATTGTGTTATTCATAAACATATTCCTCGGGAGGCTGCAGGTTTATTGCTTTAGAGGTGCACCTGACCATTGAGGCCCCACAACTGAGGCACCTTCCTCTGTCTGACTCCAGAGGAAGATCACATTTAGAAAGGATATAATTGGTTAGCATGGGGCTTGATACAGTGCACTGCTACTCTTTATCAGGGAGACAGATGTGAGTGTGAGACAGCATCTCGGCAGCATAGACATCCATACAATTGTTCAAGGCAGTATGCTCCTTGGGAGTAGGTAGAGACTAGGCCTTCTGTTTCCATTGCCCTCATAGTATCTAGCTTCACGATTGGAGCATAGTAGAGGTCCTGTTATTGTCTGTCGAATGAATGAATGGGGAAGGGAGAGGCTTTGCCACTTAGAGCATGTATTCTGCCTAAGGGAACAAAAATTTGTTGGGGGGCGTGGTTAGATATTACAGTGGTTTGTGGCCCTCTGAAGAACCACATTACACAAATAGTTCTACAATATTCCTGTGGTGTTAATATTTCATGGACTGTAAGAGGGAGCAACTAAGGGGGGAAAGGTCTTAAAACACTTCTGCTGGTAGGCAGTGATTATAATGAAAAGAAGTTGAGAACACTGGCTTGGGGGTTAGGTGTTCAGGTTCTGGACTCAGACCCGGGTTTGACTCCCAGCCCCAGATCTTAAAAAGCTATGTGACCTGGGCAGGTTATTTTACTGAGACATCTCCCATGTGAAATGGGAGTTTTGATGGCACCCACCTCACAGTGTTGTGGGGATTAAAGAAAATAATGTGTGGACATCGCTAATTATAATGGCCAGTACTTAGAGCTGTTACTAATGCTTGGCCCAGCACCCAATCCATAGCAACCTCACAGTCCCCAGTGCCACGCAGATATTTGCATCTGTTATGTTGATCACTGCCAGGACAGTGTGGGAGAACTCACTCAGGTGGGTGGGCTCCCTCCCTACAGTGTTTCCTATTGTGGGAGCCTCTCAGCCACTTAGCAGAGTGATACTTGCCTCTGGCAGGAGACATGCCCAGAGATCGATATCAGTCATTTTAGTCACTGCTAATGGATAATTGTTTTTTCTCCCCAAGTATGAACGAGGCTCTGCCACCAACTACATCACCCGAAACAAAGCCCGGAAGAAGCTTCAGTTGAGCCTGCCCGACTTCAGGTGGGTTGGAAGGGAGGAGGATGGGGGGCCTTGGGTGTGCTTGGGGAGTGAGCCACACAAGGAAGACTCAAATGCATCTCTGTCTTCTCTTTGCTGCCACAAACGCCATCTGGAATTCTTGTATTCTTCCTCTTTGTCACTCTTAGTTGCCTGGCTGTGCTTTAGTACGCTATTTGCCAGGTGCAGTCTGTGGGGAAGCTGGAGGAGCCCCTGTTACGTAGCCCTGTCATCAGAATGAGCCCACTGGTACAACACCCTGTGCTCTCTGTCTGAGTCTTTGTCACCTATCCCCTCCCTTCTGGCAGAAGAGACTCCTGACCCTATAGCTAGGGGTTCTCAACTCCTTACAGAGTCAAACCCAGACTCCTGCACGGCAGGTAGGCCCTGCCGCCTGGCCCACTCTTGGTGCTTCAGCTGTGCCCCGCACTTTCCACCCTTACAGTCTTTGTCTTTTTCAGGATGCTCTTCCCACTTTTATGTGTCTGAAATGTTGGTTTCTCAGCAAGGCCCTTCTTGACTTATCTTGCTAAAAAGTGTACCTGACATCAGGCCCCTTTAACGTCCTGATTATTTCCTCTCTGGTGCTTGTGACAGTCTCCAGTATGTGATTTTGGGTCAACCTGTGATTGTCGGGCTCCTCACTAGAACGTGAGTTCTCCAAGGGCAGGCCCTCAAGTCCCCTGTCAGTGCTGTTTTCCAGGCCCAGTCTGGCCAGTGCTCAGCATGTTCACTGACTGAAGGAACGGCCTTTCTCTTTCAGACGGCTGTGCATCCTGAAGGGCATTTATCCCCATGAGCCCAAACACAAGAAGAAGGTTAACAAGGGCTCCACGGCAGCCCGGACTTTTTACCTTATCAAAGACATCAAGTTCCTCCTCCATGAACCCATTGTCAACAAGTTCCGGGAATACAAGGTGAGGCCCAGGGCTAGGGTCTGTTCGGGTGGGCCCATCACAACTCCGTGGCCCACTGACTGTTACTGCAGGCAGACTGTTTAGCCTCTTTGAGCAAGCTTGTTAGAGAGTGACATAAGTCTACCTGAAAGGAGTGTTGCTAGGACTGACTGAGATCGCATGTGGGAATCATTTGCACAGGACCTGGCAGATGATTAATGCTTTACCTGTAGTACTTTTCCCCTGGTTCTTTTGTAAAAGAGTGAATGTATTGCTTCCGAGACAAAGATGATGCTGTTTCAGGGGCTCTCCGGTGTGGTCTCTGCTCCAAAACACCACTGCTATTCAGACTCTTTCTGGAACTGCTTGGAAGAGACCAAGCTTTTCATTCCACAAACATAAACCATTAAATGCTCAAATACCACAGGTAAAGGAAAAACCTGTTTATACCAAATGCAAATAATTGGAAGTAGACTGCTGTTACTGAAGCCTTCACAGAACAGCAGGGCCTGGCTGAGGCCCTCCATGGAAGGATGGGGTGCCACCTAGTGGCCACTATTAGCTGCGGGCCCTCCTGTCCAACCAAGTCCACCGAGGTGTGTGGCTGGCCCTGTTTTGCTGCTGGATTTTAAAACTACAGTCACAATCACTAGGCCACAAATCTGTATAGCATGTTACTGTACAAAGAAACGTGATATTAAATTAAGCCCAAGAGAAAATGATGCAATAGACAGACACAGTAAACTTGAGGTATATGAGGCAGCTGCCAGCATAATGTGGCATACTGTTTTATAGCAAGCTTTTTTTTATAGGTAGAAAAAGTGCACTCTAAAATAAAATTAAAGTATAATACAGTAAACACTTAAATCAGTAACACAGTCATCTATTATCATTATCAGGTAATGTGTACTTTACACAGTGTGCTGTACTTTTGAACGACGGGCAGTGCAGTACATTTGTTTAGACCAGCATCACCACAAGCACACGGGTAATGCATTGTGCTTTGGCGTTACGATGGCTGGGATACCAGTAGTGATAGGAATTTTTCAGCTCCATCATAATTTATGGGGCCACTGTCATATATTCAATCTGAATCATCATTCAGAAAATATCACTGAAACATTGTGTGGAATCAAACCAGCAACTTTTGCTTGGCGGGACAATGCTCAACTAACTGAGCCACACCGATCTGGTCTTGGGGGAGGGGTCAGTTTTGACGTTCCTCAGAGTTACCTGTTTTGCAAATCCTGGGCTGAGGGAGCAAGTGGCACCATCAGACAACTTCAGGAGGCCTTGAGAGTCTTCCTACCCCACATATCCCTCCTACACAGAAGACGGGTCTCTAGGACTGTTGGCCTCTGCATCAGCTCTTTCTTTCTCTTTTCTAGGTGTTTGTCCGCAAGCTCCGGAAGGCCTATGGGAAGAGCGAGTGGAACACTGTGGAGCGTCTGAAGGACAACAAGCCCTACTACAAGCTAGACCACATTGTCAAGGAGCGGTGAGTTGGGGGCTCAGTCTGAGCACTGGGGATGTGGTGGGGAACCAGACCAAGGCTGCCCGAGCTGCTGGCATTGTGCTGGAGGAGACAGACCAAAAACCAAACTGCCAAATTTTTATAATGATTACAAGTCATAGTGAGTGCCATGAGGGATGCCAACTGTGGGCGGAGAACTGGGGGACACACGTAGTCACAGGCTCGTCAGAGGAGGCCTCACTGAGGGGAAGCACAGTCCAAGCAGAGGCAACAGCAAGTGCAAAGGGCCTGGGGTAAGAGAGAGCCAGAGTTCTGAGGAATGCATACCAGGAACATGGTCATACCTGAAGGATATGGCTGGATACCTAACCTTAACTATTCCTTGCTCAGCCTTCTCTGCAGTCCCACTCATTCATTGTCTGACTCAGTGGTTCTTAACCAGGGTAAGAATGACTTGGATGGGAGGGTCTTCTAGTTTTTAGTGGGTAAAGGCCAGGGATATTGCTAAACACACTGCAGTGCATAGGACAGTCCCCACAATACATAACAGCCTGGCCCAAAACATTGAAGTGCTAAGATTCAGAAACCTTAGGCTAGATGAATGTCCATCCTCTCTTGGGGGCTTGACGGCTTGGAACACTTAGCTTCAGGCTAGATAGACTTGGCTTCACCGAGCCAGCTCAGCCGTGGGCTAGTGCAGGAGGGGCCTTGGCCTAGGAGCTTGACAGCTGGTGTTCTCACCCCAGCCCCACAGCCTGTGAGTTGGGTGGCCCGAGAACAGTTTCTACTCTGAGCAAGTCCTCCCCTGTAACAGAGAGATGACCGTAACTCCTGTCCTGACTGACACAGCTGTTGTGTGGAACAAGTGAAAATAAATGCACAAGAAAAAAAGCAAGTGTCTGGATTCTTGCACACACCCGGAGCCAATAGGGCTGTGGCATTCCCATTCCATGTCACCCCTTCCCCTCCCCCATCTCCTTAGCCATTGGTTAAGAAGGAAAAGCAGGTGGCTCAGAAATGGCGCTGTTTGTGCAAAAGGCCTGGTGTGGTGGGGGTGCTGGGCAGTGGAGAGAGGAAACTGCGAGGCACCAGAGGGGGCCAGCTGAGGCTCTGGCCTGTGCGCCTGGAAACCAGATTCTCTCCTGCTGTTGTCTTGCTTGAAGTCCCTGCAGCCTTCCTTCCATCTTGGTCTGGGTTAGAAGACCTGGCAGGCTCCTCTGACTCATTTTCAGTGAGTGATGCCATCCAGGGCTGGAAGGACTCGGCCATCTCTGGTCCTGTGGCTTTCAGAGAGTTCCTTTTTGAAGCAACAGAACGCTTTTTGCAAAAGGAGGCTTCCTGGAAGGTAGTGCGGATGCCAGAGGCTTTGATGGCTGCCCTGGCTGAGAGAGGGAGACTTGAAGCCTTGTCCATCCACTTGTCCCCAGATGTTTCCAGGAAGCTTCAAGAGCCCGGTTTTAAGCCAGCAGTGAGCTCCAATATTGTCATTTTCCAAATGAAACCGTTTGATGGAGCGAAACAAAGTGAGCCACCCTGGGTCACAGCTGGGACAGGAATTGGGGTGTCAGTGCTTGTACTCCAGTGTCCTCCCCGTGACCCGCACCTCCATCCCTCAGCAGGGCAGCCACCCAGTGGTGGATCCTGCCGGGAAGGCTTGTTCCCATTGGCTTCCTGATTTACCACCGGATTTCTGAAGTACGTTATTGCTCTGGCTCTTCCTGGCCAGGACCACGTTCCAGCATTCTTACTGTCTGGTTCTAATTGGTTCTGTAAACCATACGACAGTCTCGGTGATGAGAAACCGGACAACCCACTCTGGTGACCAGTGGCCATGAGTGCTGCTGAGGACAGGCTTGCCCCCTTCCTCCACGCTGGCTCCCTAGGGCAGCGTCACATTTTTCTGCTTTCTGTCTTGAACCTCCAGACAGATATCCTGTGATCTGAAGGTTCCACCTTGAAAGAGAGAGAGCCATCGACTCAGTCTGCCCTGTTTGACCACACGTGTGGAAGTGGGTTGAGCCCGTGTCCTTAGTTTGTAGTGGAGACTCCGTCAGGGTTTCTCTGATTCTCAGAGCTAAGTGGGCGTGTTCTGGTTCCATGGTTCCTCCCAGGGCTGTGGGGAAGCTGGCACTGCCTGGCTTTATGGTCAGGAGGTGGCAGTGCAAGGCCTGGCTTAGGGATGGCGCCTCCAGGGTGGCCCATGGCTAAACCTGTAAGTACTGCCCTTCCGGCCACCCAGGTACCCCACGTTCATCGACGCCCTTCGGGACCTGGACGACGCCCTCTCCATGTGCTTTCTCTTCTCCACATTCCCCCGGACCGGCAAGTGCCACGTGCAGACCATTCAGCTGTGCCGCAGGCTCACTGTGGAGTTCATGCACTATGTCATCGCCGCTCGGGCCCTGCGCAAGGTGAGCTCAGGGCAACCCGGCAGGGCCCCACCTGCTCTCTCCCTCACTGTCCCCTTGGTTTTTACCGTGTTTTCCTCCTCCCCCCCCCAGGTCTTTCTGTCCATCAAAGGCATTTACTACCAGGCCGATGTGTTGGGGCAGCCCATTGTGTGGATCACGCCCTATGCCTTCTCCCATGACGTGAGTGCGCCCGTGGGGAGGGAGGGGCTTGTGAGGGGCTGTTCTTCCTCTGGCTCCTAGACAGACAAGGGCAAATGAGCAGAGAGGGGGTTTTGCCGTCCTGCAATGTCCAGTGTGTGCCGTGTTCCTGAGTGTTGGCGTGGGTTGTGGGGAAGGTTTCGTAAGAACTTGAGCCAGCCCAGCTCCAGCATCCCCCAGTTGGTGATCCTTGAATGTGTTCCTTCACCTGTCTGTTCCTCTCTGTTTATGATGTGCTTTCACCTTCTAAGCATCGTCCTGAGGATTTCAAGGTGCCCTTTGGGGAGCCGAATGAATATTGAGTGGCTGCTGGGGTCTGGACCACGGCCACGCCCAGGCCTATTGTCCAACCCACTGGGGTCCTCATCCTGCTCTGTTGCTGGCAGCTGCCAGACCTTGACCAAGCTGCTTTGCCTAACTCCTCAGCTTCCTCCACTCCCATCACCGCCCCCCCCCCCACACACACACAGTGCTTGGGGGCTGGGAGCAGTGGGGAGGGTGAACACAAGGGGAGAATTAAGTGTGTGGCACTACTTATTTATATTCTCTTAGACCGAAGCTTTTGGCAGGGTTCCATGGAGAGAAATCCCGGTTTTGCCTCCTTATGGGGTGTCATTAGCCTCTAGACCCCCACAGGGCCTCAGCCAGACTTAGTACCTGACTTGTCATTCTGTGCGCCTGCATTCAGCCCAGTTTCCTGCTTGTGCACTGGCGCCTTCAGTGGAGAGCAGACGCACCAGCCTGACGGGACAGTGGGTCTGCTGCCAGGTTATCAGGAGCCTCAGGGCAAAGCCGGGCTCTGGGCTCTTCTCCTCTACCCTGGGCTGGTGGGGGTTCGAGGGCCAGAACCACTGTGAGTGCAGAGCGGTGGTGATGGCTGATGCAGGCTGCAGCCTGTATGTGGGCTTGGCCCTCAGCAGTCCTCCTTCCCACTCCTCGGGACAAGCTTGTGTGCCAGAACCCGTGGGTCTTTCCTCTTCCCCGTTCTGTTCCTCCTCTCCTCCTCCTCCTTCCTTCCTTCCTTCCTTCCTCGCCACCCTCCCTTTCCTCCTTCCTCTCTGGCCCTCCTGCTCCTTCCTCCTCTCTGATGTCCCACCCCCGTGCTGCTCAGACTGGGCTTTGTGTCCTCTGGGGGTGAATAGGGCCCTGTGGAGGCCAGCCTCCACACAGCTGGCCTGGGGGAGGGGAACCTCCGCCTCTTTCTCCTTCCTCCCTGGCCAGCTCACTGCCGCTACTTCCTCTCAGCAGGAGGATGGAGGACTGGTACTGGGTTGTAGGTGAGGCCCCGGTGTGTCCCCTCTCCCTCAGTGGCAGTTCTGGGCCCCTCAAAGTAGGACCCAGGCAGGTCGGGGGGGAACCCCACTCAACACTGTGCTGTAGGAAATGGAGTAGGTACCCAGGTGTGCGCCAGGCCAATCGGGGGTTCTGCAGATGCTTTCAGAAGAACAGAGGTGTAAGCGTGGACACAAGTGGGGTACCTCTTGGCCCCTGTTCCCCCATAGCCCGGTCACTGCCTGCTGGCATGTTGGAGAGCCACAGGCACACCCAGCACAAAAGGGGTGTGGTCATCACTGATTTTGACATTGCTTGGCACATCCTCCTGTCTGGGTCCCGGGGGTCAGCAGGGCTGGGCTGGTTGTGGGGGACAGTGCTGCTTGAGTTGGGGTGCTCTGATTTGGCTCTCAGATCCTTGCCGTGTTTCCCTTTATCGTTTCCTCAAGGGCTAAGGGGAACCCTTTTCTGCCCACCATTTCCCCAGAGCTCCCTGGGGCTGAGGCAGGCGGCTGCCCTAACCTGTCCTGTGTGCGTGGGTCGTGCCTCTGTTTCTAGCTGGGTCTGGGGCCAGGTCACTCAGTTCTGAGTATCGTCCCAAGGCTCCTGCCAGAGTTTAGGGCAGCAGTGCTGCTAGGCTCTGGGAATATTTGTCCCCTGGGCACTTGCGGGCCAGTCCCAGAGAAGGCATTAAACGAAGATGGCGGGGTGGGTAGCGGAAGGCGTGAGCTCTGACCAGACTGGTCAGGGAAGGCGGCCTCTGCAAGTACAAAGCCTGGGTGGGGGCTGGGGGTGCCTGCCAGTCCTGGGAACGGCATGACAAAGGCTTTGCTGCCTTCTAGATCCTCCTACGTGGTTTGGGTATCTGGCACCGGCCTCTGGGGAACCCCTGTTCCTTGGGACCCCTGTCCAGAGCCTCACTGGTGCCCAGAATGCTCCTGGGTTGGGACACACCATGTAGCCCCGTCCTGTGGGGCGGAGTCTCAAGGCAGGGCTGCCCTGGAGGAGGATTTCACCTTGTGAGAGTTGTCATTGTCGTCTCTGTACCTACCCTGTTGACATGCCTCCTGTGCCCCCCAGCACCCAACAGACGTGGACTACAGGGTCATGGCCACCTTCACCGAGTTCTACACCACCCTGCTGGGCTTTGTCAACTTCCGCCTCTACCAGTCACTCAACCTGTACTACCCACCCAAGGTGAGGCCCAGCCGGGTGCCGCCTTCTCCCCTACGTGCGGGCAGGGGCTGTGGGCAGCCTCTTCCTCTGACCTCCCCCTGCCTCCTAGCTCGAGGGTCAGGCCTGCACAGAGGTGACAGCCCATGAGGACAGCTATGCGTTGGACTCTGAGAGTTCTATGGAGGTGAGAGAAGCGTCCAGGACATTGGCCCTGTATCCTTCAGAAGGGTGGTCCATGGCCCAGGGTTGGTCATGGCTACAAATGTGGTTTCGGGGCTTCCCTCAGAACCCAGACCCACTGATGTCCTAGAACTGTCACTGCTACCTCTGCCCCACCTAGGCCACCCCCTCATTTAAGGACACCCACCTGCATGTAGCAGCCCTGCAGTCCTGCTTCTTTTCCGTAGAAACTGGCAGCCCTCGGTGCCAGTCTGGCCCGCGTGGTGGTGCCTGCAGAGGAGGAGCCTGAGGTGGACGAGTTTCCTGCTGATGGGGTGAGGACGGTGCTGCCTTCCTTGAGGAGCAGGTGGAGGGGGCGGAGTGTTAGGACCGAGGAATCTGGAAGGAAGCTGGGGCAGGGGCGGTTCCCCTCTAACCCCTGCCCTGCATCAGGGCTGTGGGCAGACCTGACAGCACGAGGCCTGGGCCCTTTCTCCGTAGGAGATTGCGGCACAGGAGGAGGACCGCAGGAAGGAGCTGGAGGCGCAGGAGAAGCATAAGAAGCTCTTTGAGGGCTTGAAGTTCTTCCTGAGCCGCGAGGTGCCCCGGGAGGCCCTGGCTTTCATCATCAGGTAGGGAGGTCGACAGCACGGGCTCTGCCACACTCTGGGCCGGGTCTGCTCTGCACGGGGCGGCCGTGGACGCCCGCCGATGACTTCGGGATGGTGTCAGCATCCACTTCTTAGGGTGTCATGAGGGCTCAACAAAATGGTGCTCGAACAGTGCCCAGCACACCCTGAGCACATAGGAAGGGTTTGTTGGGGTGCAGCTGGCATCACTTTCTCACCAGCTTAAGGCAGCATGCGGGGTCCTGGGGTGAGGAGGAGACGCTTGTGTCCTGGGGGGTGAGCTTGGTGGCCAGTAGATTCCAGTGTAGGCACCTCACGCCTGAGTACTTTTGTGGGCTCCCCTTGTGCCTGTAGGAGCTTTGGAGGAGATGTGTCCTGGGACAAGTCTGTGTGCATCGGGGCTACCTATGATGTCACAGACTCGTGCGTCACCCACCAGATTGTTGACCGGCCCGGGCAGCAGACACCTGTCATCGGCAGGTAGGCCCCCAGGGCCCTCGTCTCCCTCTGCCTGTTTGGGGTTCTGAGTGCGGAGGTCTGTCTGCAGGCCTCTGTGAGCGCAGCAGGGCCTCGGGTGGCCCCCATGACCCCTCTGTGTCGCCACCGTGTGCCAGGTACTACGTGCAGCCGCAGTGGGTGTTCGACTCTGTGAACGCCCGGCTCCTCCTCCCCGTGGCAGACTACTTCCCTGGGGTGCAGCTGCCCCCACACCTCTCGCCCTTCGTGTCGGAGAAGGAAGGAGATTACGTTCCCCCTGAGAAGCTGAAGCTGCTGGCCCTGCAGCGGGGAGAGCACCCTGGTGAGTTCGAGGGGCGGGACAGGGTGGGCAGGCCCCTCCATGTTGGTCTTTGCCCCTGGGCCTCAGCTGGTTGCTTCCCTTGCCGTCTTCAGATGTGGTGAGCTCCAGAGAGCGGGGCGGGCAGCAAAGGCACAAACCCCTTCAACCTCACCGTGGGCTAAGGTTTAGGACAAGAGAGCGTCTATGTCCTACCGTCAGGAGCTCTTGATGTCCAGAATGAGCAGAAGGGCAGTTTTCGTAGGAGGCACAGATAGCTCGGGAGTGAGGAGGGGGGCCTGGAATTTCCTCGGAAGGCATCTGGGACTGTGGGGAGAGCTGCCAGAGTGGGGCCCGGGTGGGACAGCCCTGCACTGCCTTTGGACTGTCCCCAGGGCTGAAAAGGGTGGGGCCTGGCACCAGTTCTCGCCTGGTCAGGGAAAGAGCAGGCTCCCAGGGCATTCAGAAGCCTTCGGCTATTTGTAGGAAATTTGAATGAATCGGAAGAGGAAGAGGAGGAGGAGGAAGACAATGACAGTGATGGTGATGAAGAGGAAGAAGATTTGGAGGCTGATTCGGAAAAGGAGGACGAGGCCCAGCTGACAGCTCTGGAGGAGCAGAGGATGGAGGGGAAGGTGTGGGGAGCTCACCGGGTGTGACTGGGAAGCAGCCCACTGGCTGTCTTGGTGCCCGCCCTGGCCCGGGTGGGCGGGAGCTGGGCGGACTGGCAGTGGGTGTGGGGACCTGCACCCACGGCATCTGCTCTGTATTCCCAGAAGCCCAAGGTGATGGCGGGCACCGTGAAGCTGGAGGACAAGCAGCGGCTGGCCCAGGAGGAAGAGAGTGAGGCCAAGCGCTTGGCCATCATGATGATGAAGAAGCGGGAGAAATACCTCTACAACAAGATCATGTTTGGCAAGAGGCGCAAAATCCGTGAGGTGAGTTCCTGCCAGGTGTGACCACACAGGTGACCTTTGAGGCCAGCTGGCTCTTCCCTGGACAGCTGTGGGCTCTCGCCCAGCCTTTTTCTGAGGTTGCCCCCCTGGCCTCTGAGGCCCTCACCCAGTCCTGTGTGGCACCTGGGGGTCGGGGGCTCCCCACTGGGGTCTCTTCAGGGCTTCAGTCTCCCTCCCACACCTGGCTGTTTCTGAGTCTGCCTGGACCTGGGGACAGACCTTTCCCAGGAGACCCGGCCTGCTTTTATGAAGTGCCCAAAGCAGGGAAGCCTGTGAGAGTTTTTGGTTAGGCTTCTGGTTTGTTTTTTTGTCTACAAAGCCACATACGCACATTGTAATAAAGAAAAAATAAATAAAAATAAAAGTTCTGTGTACATCTTGAACTCTGTAATAGAGGGCGCAGAAGTGGCTTGCAGGCCTGCCCTTGGGGTGATCGGTCGTCACAGCCCCCAGGTTTCTTTTGTGCGTTAGTAACAGACATTATTTTTGGACCATCGAGCCACGTGTAGGGTGGGGCAAAAGTAGGTTTACCATCGTGAGTACACAAACCAGGGTTTATTCTTATATTGTCGCTTATTATTGTTGTCCATACGAACAACTATAAACCTACTTTTGCCATACTCTGTATAGGGTGGCGTGTTTTCTGTTTAACCACAGCACCTGTTCCCTGCTGATAGGATTATATTATTTGCCATTTTTAGTCATTTTTAGAAAACACGCTTGAGCTGTCCCTGCCTACCCCCCAACGTCTCTGTAGGGTCAGTTCTTAGAAACGCGATTGCCAGGTGGAAAGGCCCACCTGTTTTGTAGCGGATACTGCCAGACGGCCCCCCTCCCGACAGCTCCCAGTGACGGCTTGAATGGCACCCAGCTCTCCCAAGGGGAGAGGATAAATGGGGCGGTTCCCTCCAGCCCTGGGAGCCAGGGATCCTCCTGACTCGCTGTGGGCCCATAAAATGATAGTTTTAAAGACAAAAGTGAGGGCTTGTTTCCTCACCTGAGGTTGTTCAAGTAGATTTGTTTTTCCCCATGGTAGTTGTCTGTTAACTGTTCAGAAAGCTCTGCTTTTAAGGTATGTCCTCGAGTAGAAGAGGGGAGTCTCCTTCCCTGCTCACTTCCACCAGCTTGATTTTCCCTCTTTCTCCCCATAGGCCAACAAACTGGCAGAGAAGCGGAAAGCCCACGACGAGGCCATGAGGTCTGAGAAGAAGGCCAAGAAGGCAAGGCCAGTGTGAGTGGCAGCAGCCTCTTGATGGGCCAGGCCAGCTCTGGGCAGCTGGACTTGGCACAGGCAAGCGAGAGGACCAGGGCTCGGTGGCAGGCCGGAGTCCCAGAGTGTCTTCTGTTTTCATTCTCCTCCTCCCTCCCGCCGGCCCTGGCCTCCTCTCTTGCTCTCTGGCTGGGCCCATGGACAGCCCCGGCCTCCCTTGGATGGAGCTCTCGCAGAGAAGAGGTGTCTGTGCCCAGCTGTCTCTCCTAGAAGTCAGAGACGTGGGGAGCAGGGCCTCACCAGCCCTTCACCAGCTGCTCCTGTTCACTGTGGCTTTCACAGTTTCCCTCGCACACATGGTTGGACCCGTGGTTCTCTCGGTATTGCGATGGGGGGATAGTGGGGATACATTGGTTATTAAATGGCTGGAGTTTTGCAGCCAGTTGGATTCTGTGTTCATGAGCCTTCTTGGGATGAGAGAAGGGCCACCTAGTGCCCTGTGCTCCAGGCTGGACAGGCCTGGGTGTTAGAAGGGTCTGGTCACGATCAGAGTTCTCTGCATGTCCAAGGATGCGAGAGGGTAGGTGCAGAGGTTCTGGGCTGGGACCCTGCCCTTAGTCTACATACAGACCAGCCTGTGCTTTCAAGACTCTGAACCTGCTTCCTCCTGTGTAAATCAGCAGTAGAAATGCTGGAGCCTGCTTCCCCATGCTTTGTGGAGATGCTCCGTGATAGTTATGCAAACTCAGTGGTGTCAGGTGTCTCACAAAGTGCTCAGCAAACCATCTGGGGTTGTCATTACCTGCTGCTTGAGTCAGCCCAGAAGGGAAGAGCCAGTGCCTGAGGGGTCTGTGCGGCCTGAGCTAAGGGAACAAACTTTACCTGGTGGGCTCCTGGGCAGCACTGCCAAGTAACCCCCAGTATGGACGTGGCAGCAGCCTGACCTGCTCCCCTTGCTAGGCTGTCCTTACAGCTTCCTGCCCACGCTTGACAGTGCCTACGCAGGAGCCAGGGCCAGAATTGGGCTCAGGATGGCCACAAGCCCTCCCAGGTCAGGCAAGGAGTTTCCGAAGCACCTCCCCGGGGTGCCCCAGTGGGTGTGCTAGGAGCAGGCCCAGGGCAAGGAAGTGTGGACTCGGCTCCACCTTCCTCACAGGCAGGCACCTGAGGGAGGGCCTCGGCCCCGCCTCTTGCTGCTTAGGCTCTGAGGACATTTTCTGGGTGGTGGCTGCAGGCCTGACCCGTGGAGAGGGAAGGGAGATCTTGGGTGGGCTCTGGCTGAGGGAGCAGATGCCCCAGGGCCCCCGTCTCTGCTATGGGGAGGATAGGGCTGTATTCCATTCTGCTGTGCTCATGGTGGTGGGGCAGTGCCCTCACGGGCAGGGTCAGGACCCCTGGCACCAAAGCCTGCTGCCCTGAGGCATGACTGCGGCCTAGCTGGGTGCGTGTGCATCCTGGAGCTGTGGCAGGGGCGCCAGGGCAGGGCCGGAGAGCAGGCCCATCAGATATGGTGTGGAATTTTCCCCATTCCAGAGTCGCCCAGTAATGGTGGGGGCAGCGGGGCTATGACATGGCCTGTGCCCCACTGGGCGTCCAGCTGCTTTGTCATTGCCTACAGGTGGAGCTGAGCATTACACGGGGTTACAGACAGGCATTAGTCCCCACCCTTGGCCCTCAGGTGGAGGAGGGAAGCCCAGCTGGAAAAGGGTGGACGCTGCATGGGGGGCACCTGCGTGCTGATGGCACTGTGCTCAGCCCTGATGGGTGCCCTGGAGAGGTGGGGTCAGCTGAGACCTTCGAGGGGCTGGCCAGTTGGAGATGGGTCCCTTGCCTCAGCCACCCTCAAATTCTGGCACCACCGCCACCTCCCATCTGTATTTCAGAAGTCAAAAAGCGTGCCCCCCCGCCTGCACTGATGCACGGGGGCCCGCTTTCCACTGAGTCCTCTGATCTGGCTGCCGCCTTCTTCCCAGAGCAGAGCAGGCCTCACCACCACCACGCCACCCCGTTTCCCAGGCACCCTCGAATCCCCTCAGAGCCTGGGAGCTCAGCCGAGCCTCAGGGTCCGGTGGCGGGACAATGGCCCCGTTGGCGCTTCTGAGACAAATGAGCCTTGTTGGGCCTCCGGCGGGGGCGCGATGCTGTCCCGGACGCCCTGAATGCCGCTTCTGTGCGTCCTGGGCGCGCGAGGAAGGGTCGGGAGGGGACCGCGGTCTGGGGCGCCCATTGGCCGTGGTGCAGGGGGCTGGGCGAGGCTGACGGCCGCACCTGGCTGGAGCCCGCGCAGCGGCGTCGGGGGCGGGGCGGGCGAATGGCCCAGGCCCCGCGGAGCTGGAGTCTCCGGCGGGTACGCCCCGCCGCCTAGTAAGCGCCCGGGCGGCGCGGCCCGGGCCGAACCATCACAGCAAGCCCGAGGAGAACGGGGACAAGGTACGTCCTGGGGTCCCAGCACCCACTGCCAGCTGACACCCCATCTCAGTCTACCCCCTTGGGTCCCCACCCACACACCATCCCAACCCGGACGGACGGCGCACCCGCCCAGACCCAGAGCTCAGTGATGTGGAAGTGCTACTGCAGCTCCAGGCCCGGTGCCCCTGCCTGCTGATGAGGCCGGTGGGCAGGCTGGGGCCAGGATGGCACAGGCTGGTTCTCATCCTGCCTTTGGTTTCTTCCCCTGGGTCCCCATTTCCAGGGTTTTCCCAGTGGCTGGATTGGGATGGGTGGAGCTGGGCTCGAGCTAGAAGTCCATTAATGATTAATCTTGGACACAGCAGCCTGTGCTCTGGAGGAGGAGGGGCAGGAATCTCCCCTCTTCCCACAAGGCTTCCCCTAGAAGGGAGGGGTCTGTCAGAACGGGTTGGGGGCCCTGGTAAGAGATTGATCCCCTCGTTTTCGGGGAGGCCCTGTCTTGTAGCACAGAGGGGCCAAGGCCACCAAGGAGAGGCTTGGTGGGAATCCGACAAACCCTGGTCCCCTAGAAAATCCAATAGTTCCCCTGTTTTCTGGACCAGTGCCCAGAAAGGAGAACCAGTCTGGTACCAAGCCAGCACCTTGGTCACAGCACAGAGCAAGATGGTGGCCCCTTCCCAATGGGGACCCTCTCCTCTCCTTACCTGCCTAGAACAGGAGGTGATGCATGCACATCTGGCTGCAGTGACCCACACCAGTGGGAGGGAGGGAGGTGACGGCCTGACACCTGATCGCCTGGGTTGCCGAGGTGACAGGTGCCATGGAAATCTTCAGGACAGTCCAGTTGGGAGAATCCAATCTCTCCCCTTACCAAGGGGTGACCTGAGGCCCAGAAGGGTAAGGCTGAGGGCAAGCCTGGGCCAGAGCAGCCCTGTGCTGCCGCACTAGGCCTTGCCCTGCAAAGGAGACATTGCTGCTGTCCCCATTATCCTGAGGGGAAACTGAGGCTCAGGGAGGTTCAGGGACTTGTCCAAGGTCACAGAGTTCAAAGGTCATAGGAGTCTTGCCCCAGCCTGCATCTCAGGACCCCAGCCCTGCTCAAGACTTCCGAGTCCCTCTGGGGTCCTAGCCTCTTGGAGCTGCCTGGGCCGCCCCGAACTCCCGGCTCAGAATCCCACCCCCCTTGCCTCCCCGGCTCCCGGCTCTGCCTGACACTCGCAGGGTGAGCAGGCTGCTACTCGGGGATCAGAGACAACAGAAGCCTGTCCCCAGCTGCCACCTGGGGCAGCTTTAGGCCCGGCTTCTCTCTCAGGCAGATCCCTGCCTGAAAGAGGCTCCCTGTGGACGAAGAAGCCTGCCTGCTTCCCACTCATCTCCTTGCCTGATGGGCATGGGTCTGATGTTTGCGAGCTTAGGTCCGATGCCCTCATGTCACCCAGCGAGGGAGGAGTGTGTCCCCTTGGTCCCTTCCTCTCTCTGGGGCCTGAAGGGCTGCGTGTGCCACCCCAGTGGGAGAGGCGATTAAGTGGGAGAATGATGGACAGGTGGTGGGACCTCAGGCATGGCAGCAGGCTCTGGAAGGGCTTCTTGCTTTGCTTTGACTCGGTGAGGAATAGAGACAAACCCTTTTGGGAGCCCTGTCCTGCTTCAGATGGGAAGGACTGGACAGAGCGGAGGTGGGCAGGGGGCTGGTGAAATCCCCAGGTGAGACGTGATGGGCGGTAGTGGGACCCCACACAATACCTTCTTTTCCTCCTGCTGGTTCCAGGGCAAAGGTGAGGTGTGGTCGGGCACCCCCACACCCGGTCCCAGAGGTGTCCTGACTTGCCATGTGGCCTTAGGTGAGTCCTTCCCTATCTGTGCCTCGATTTCCTGTTACAAAATCTTAGGGATCTTGGGTCTGGAGCCTAGGAATATGGGTGCCCTTGATGGGGGGAGGGTGGCCTTCAGGAGTCTGCACTGGCAGGTCCTGCTTCTCCTGCTAAGGGCATCTAGGGGGTGATGACAGCGCTCTGAGGTGTGTGCAAAGGGCTGTGTGTGCCTCGTCCCATTTGGTCCTCACAGCAAGCCCCTGAGAGGGTGGCAGGACCCCCATTTTTTAGGAAAGGCTCAGAGAGGGGAAGTCACTTGCCCAAGGCGGCCCAGCTGGGGAGTGGTGGAGCCAGGATTGTATAGCCAGGGCACCTCGGCCCCTGCAGGAGCAGAGAAGCAGGTGGGTGGATTCAGCGCATTGTGCATAACAAGTGCCCAGCACCTTTGAAAACCCTTTATATTGTTTCCTGTTTTTATGCAAACAAGTGCGTGACATTCCTTTAAAAAACATTTCAGTCACTCTAGAAGGTACAGAGAATGGTATTACCAGCTCCCCCGTATGCACCTCCAGGGTTCTCAGTAATTTTGGAGCCAATAAAGAAGTGACTGACCTTTTAGTTTTGTCACTGTACATTAGAGCTGCTCTGGGGTGACAGTGTGCCAGCGGGACTGGCCGTGTGTGTGCCCAGACAAGGCGGTGGAGCAGGAAGAGCTACAAGCCTGCTTCTGGTTCTGGCTTTGACGTCCAGCCCCTCGGCACGTTCCTGAGCCTGTTTTCTCACCTGCCACTGGGGCTAGCAGGTGACACTGGTAGGGACTGTAGGGGTCACAGATGTGGGTGCCATTTGAAAAAGGTAGAGATAGGTGACCCTGCAAGATCAAAAATAGCTTTCTGAATCATCAGAGAACATTGGCCTCTTCGTAGTTGGGCCTGGGACCCAGCTGGCAGCCATTCCCCGCACCAAGGGGACAGTAGGAGCAGCATGCTGGGGATGACAGTTTGGATGTGGACCTGGGAGCTGGCCAGTTGGGGTCCAGCTGAAGCACCCCTCGGGGCAGTCCTCCCCTCTACTCCAGCAACGCGTTCCAGAGGCGCTCAGAGCGAGGAAGCTTCCGGATCCTTGCAGGTCTCTGTCCCAAGTGCTCCTGGTCAGAGGGCCAGCCTCTCCCATCTGAACCTTCTCCTGTGCAGCCCACGCTTCCCAGCCTCCTCTCTGTCCTGGGCTCTGCTGCCTCTTCCCCATTTGAGCACACCGAGGTTCAGAGAGGGCAGCATGCCTGCCATGGTCACACAGCACAGTGGGGCATGGTTCAAACCAGCCACGCCCCCCTCCTCCTACAGCCAGAATGTAGTTTTTAAAAATGGAAATATCCTAATTTTTTATTGTTCCTTTTTCTCCAACGAACACAGGCTGTCTATAAAACAAAATTACATATGTGTATATGTGTGTGCACACATATGTGTATATATATTTAATTTTATTATATAGTGTGAACATATCATTTTAATGAGTACATAATAGACCATGGGGTGAATGTCACTTAATATTTTTTAACTATTTTCTATTGTTGCACATTTAGTTGCTTTCTAATTTTGCCTTTTCTAAATAACACCATAATGAACATCTTTATGGTCCATCTGAGATCTTGTGCAAGATTATCTTCTTGGAACAAATTCCCACAGGCGGAGTTGCTGGGTCTGAGTGTGGACACTTTTAGGACTATAACAGTTGTTGTCAAATGTGTCATCTTGCTCTCCTCTTAAAGCCTCCTCCAGTGTCCCCAGGAGAGTCCCCTAGGATGCAGCCCCAGGACACTCATCCCTCCACTTTCTCTGCGAGAGCCCTGTTCCTGTGTGCAAACAGTGTGGAAAGACTCATGGGGACAGTGGTTCCACAGGATGCTCTGCAGCCAGTGGCTTTGGGGGCCTTTAATCTGTATCTCCCAGGGGCAAATCTTCCCCTTCCTGCTCCCATAAGTGCACATCCTTCTCCTCCCTCAGCCTTTGCCTGGCGACTCCATCTGCTCTCTAACCTCAGTGCCCACCTCTGTGCCCTTGGTTCCCAGTCTCTGTCCCCTGAGATCTTCCTCTTGAGCTCCTGGCAGGGGATCCCACTGCTCTTTGCACAGCCTGCAAGCATCTCACGCATTGTCGAGACTCAGCATGTCCTGAACTAAAACTGACGTTGCCCACTCAACCCCATGCTAAACCTGCTCCTTTCTTAGTGTCCCCCACTCAGGGACTAGCTCCACCCCCAGCCAGTGACCCCAACAGGGATTCTTCCCTCCCATGCTGTGGTTCTAGTCCACTCCCAGCCTTATTGTTGGTTCTGGTGATTTCATACCTAGACAGCCAGAACAGCCATTGTCAAGGCCTGCCTGCTTCTCCCATTCCTTCTCCACCTCTGTAGTTAATTTTCTGTCTATTAGCCTGATGGGAATCTTATCTCCTCACTCCTCTGCTGAAGACACTCCCAGGGCCCCACATTGCCGACAGGACCCAGGCCAGATTCCTTAGCGTGCTTCCCGAGGCCCTGCATGTCCTCTCTGCCCCTGCCCCCTTTCTAGCTGTGCTGCTAGTCTTCCCTGCCTGCCCCACAACCTCTGACATGCACACATACTGGACTCTCCAGCCAGGCTAAGCATTCATTAGGTTCTCAATTGCCCTGGGCCTTCACACATGCTGTTTTCTGTCTGGCTCATTTTAGGGTAACAGGTGCATAGTTAATGCCAGCTGCTGTAACAGACAAGCCTCAAGTTTGAAAGGCTTAACACAATGTCAGTTTAGTTGTCATTTTCATAAAATCCAATCCGCTGTTTGGTAAGCAGTGATGTGGAGAGCCAGGCTCCTCCCATCTTATAGCCCCTCCCACTTCCAGGTCCTTAGCCGCCATTCTCATGCATCCAGTGGAGGGAAACGACCACAGAAGTTCTGCCCACTTAACCCATCAGCTGTGGTTATGCTCACAGCTCATTGGCCAGAATTCAGTCACGTGAGGACACTGAACTGCAAGGGAGGATGGGAAACGTACTTTAGCCATGCACCCAGGGGGAAAAGGGAATGGAGTGCCTTTGGAAATTGGAAAATATACAGCAGCTTCTGCCCCTGGAGACTCCTACCCCAGGAAGCCTCCCTGAGCCTGTCCCTCCCACCTTCTAGGCTGAATCAAGTGTTTAGTCTGGGCTCCCACAGCCCCACCGAAGTGTCCTCCATCACAGCACCTGCAGGTATCTGCTCCCCTCTCCGTGAGCCCCAACTCTGTGCCCCTGGCGCCGTGAGCCCCAGTACTGGGCACAGTGCGGGTGCTCAGCAAATACCTGCAGAACTGATTGATTTAAAACTCACTGTGGTCACAAAACAGTATCCACAATCTACTGATATGTGCAAAAAAGCAGCTTAAAAACAAAATTAGCTCCCCAAAAGAGAACTCTGAGATCATCTATATGCATATATCATATATAGACAGAAACAAAATGTCTGGGGATGGAGCTCTTTTCATTGTCGACTTTACATTTTTCTGTAATTGGCCAAAGTTTTTTCCTTTTTGCAGTGAGCATGGACTGTTGTTATAATTAAGAACCAGTCCTGGCTGGTGTAGCTCAGTGGATTGAATGCCAGCCTGTGAACCAAAGTGTCACTGGTTTGATTCATAGTCAGGACACATGCCTGGGTTGTGGGCCAGGTCCCCAGTAGTGGGCGCACAAGAGGCAACCACACATTAATGTTTCACTTCCCCTCTTTCTCCCTCCCCCTCTCTCTAAAAATAAATAAAATCTTAAAAAACAACAACAACAAAAACCAGCTAGAGATGATGTCATGTGGGGAACAGCCCTCCCTGGTGGGGAGCTAGAGGCACAGGTCCTGCTTTAACTGCTCCCTGCTCTGGAAAGCTTTGCTTCACGTGACTCTTCTTAACCTCACTCATGAGCTTGCCTCCTGTCCAAGAGCTTGAGCCCCACTCCCACCTGGATGAGGTTGTTAACCCCATGCGATGCTGGGCTTGTCACTCCCCCACCCCTGAGCCTCAGCTCCCTTCTCTATAAAGTGGGGGTGATAACAGGGACTTCTTGAGAGGATTATGGGGGTGTGTGACACACGGCAAGTCCTGAGCATGGGACTGGACTCTGGTCCACAATCCATGTTCACAAGCCACCATCCAGCTATTTGATGCCAGCTCTGCCCAGACTCATCCCACACATCTGCCTTCAAGCTCGCTAAGCCCAGAAAAGAGGAAACGACTCTGCCTGTGCCTCGTCCCAATCCAGCACTCAGATCAGGACTCTGGGCCTTCCTCGTGGTCCTGTAAGCTCTGGTATTTCATGAGTGCTTGGGGATGGGGGGCTGCTCCCAGGCTGGGCAGGGCTTTAGGGGAAGAGAGATCATAGCAAAGATGCTTGCTGCTCCCTGGGAGGGGCTGGCAGCAGCTCAACCTATTAAAGTGCTCAGTGTGGGGTAATGATTATTATTAATTAATGCTGACGATCAGGTACCTAGAGCCCTGCGCCTGGGCCATGCTGGGGACTGTGGGTGTCATTGCTGACGGGAGGATGCAGGGGGCTTTCCTGAGCACCTTTTGTCTGGGTGCAAAGCTGAGAGAGAACAGATCTAAACCCAGCTAAGAGTGGGGTTGGAGCGGTCCCAGTGCCTGCGCTGAGCTGGAGGTACCCTCTCTCATCTAGGGCCAGGCCCCCTAAAACTGCCTCTTCCTGTTGAAACCTTAGGAGGGATCATTAGCATCCCTGATTGGCTCGAATCCCTCCAGGCTCGTCCAGGGCCACCTGTGCCACCATCCCTCACACGGGTGGAGGAGGGACAGGCCGGATTTTGCACTGGGACCTCTTTGACAAAGGACTTGGAGCTCATAGCGGTGAAAGTCATCATGCCCACCCTCCCCAGCCCTGCTCAAGGAGGCCTTCCGGGGTGATTTGCTCCGTGACTGGGCTCCCCCAGAGTTTAGACAGACCTTTCTCTGGCCGTGCCTCAGCATCTCTGAGCCCTGGAGTTTGGCAAGTCCGTGTCTGGACTCTGTCTGGCTGTCTGCCCTCTGCTAACTGTGTGACCTTGGACAGGTGAGCTCACCTCTCTGAGCCTTGGTTTCTTCACCTGGGGAGTGGGCTAACAGAGGTGCTTGATGCACAGGGCAGGGTTAAAGGAGCTGTAGCTCAAGGAGCAATTTGCCTTCCCACCCCAGTGGCCTCCTTGTCGCTCCCGAGGCCTTCGAGCCTGTCCTGGGCTATCTGCAGGGCTCTGCGGCTGCTTGTGTCCTTGGCTCAAGGACACCAGGGACCTTGCTGAGCCCTTGGATGAAGGAGCTGCCCAGCTGCTGAGGTCCAGAGAAGGTCAGGGGCTACCCAGGGGGCAGAGGGTATACCTGCAGGGTACAGGGACATGCCACCTGCTATCCCCAGGGAGGGAACTCATGAATATTCACACCCCTGGAGTGGGAGGGAGCCAGCCGGCACACTACTGGGTGTCATTGGAGCGTTCCGTTTCCCAGTGACCGCAGAGGCAGCCTGGGAGTCAGACGTGGCTGCTCAGGCAGGGAGAAGAAAGGGGTAGCCAGTCAAGAGCCAAGGTAAGCACATCTTCCTCTGCCCCTGCACAGAGGTCCCTGGGAAAGCAGGACACCCTGGGGCCAGGCGCTGCCCGGTGGTAATGCTCTCCAACAGGAGGTTTGCCATCCTGGCTTCATTTGCCTGTGTGCACGCCACGGGGGATGAGTCTGATTTCTCCTTCATTCCCTGGAAGGTGCTGGTCCAGTCAAACTGGAGGATTGCTGGGCCAGCCCTGGGCACGGATGGAGGGCTGGAGTAACCCAGAAGGGCAGGAATAGATGAGGCGGACTAGGGAAGGGGGACCGTCTGCCCTGGGACTGTCACCACTATAGGCAGAGAAAGAAGGAAACCCATGTTCTAATCCTGCCTCTGCTGCTTCCGTGCTGTGTGACCTTGAGCCTCAGCCTTCCTGCTGCACTGCCTTCCAGACTGGAGGCTCAGGCCACATAGATTGCCCTCAGGATCCCATGGCTTTAGACCTGGGGCTGTCGGTGGCCTGTAATCCCCCATCGTGGGTACGTGGGCATCTACCTCAGAGGGCCAACTGGGACCCTGGGAGGGTGACAATAATGATGATGGGAACAATGGCAGCAGCCCAGGCTCAGTGAGTGTCTACTCAGTGCCAGCCCTGTGCAGGTCGCTTTCCCTGAGGGAGGCAGAGGGTCCGCACACCGCCCTGTGATGAAGGGAGAGTTTGCACCATCATTTTGGAGGAGGAATTAAGGCACAGGCCTGTCTAAGGCAGACGGCAAGGGGACAACAGAGCTGGGATTCAAAACCAGGACCCTGGCCCCAAAGTGTCGGCTCTGTGTGACTTTCACACGTCTGACTGACATATGTGGCTCTCACACATATGTTATCACCCCTGGCCACGTTCTGCCCTGAGGATCGTAAGGGTTCATTTACCAAACATTCACCAAGTGCCAGGCTCAGAGAGCTCAACACTGAATCACCATCAGGCTTGCCTGCAGCGGAGCCCTGGTCGATAGTGGTAATAATAATTAATATGTATTGATTTCTGCCTGTGTACATGCATTCTCTCATTGAAATCTCATGGCCTCATAACTATTTTCCCACCAGCCAGGCTCCTGGCTGCTGGCCAGCCCACCTCTGGGCCTCAGTTTACTCAGGGCTCTGCCTGTGGTCACTAAGGGCACCATCTGCCCTGACCTTGCTGTTGCGTGTTTGTTGAACATAGGAGACCGAGGCTCAGAGAGGGTGAGCCATGTGCCCAAGTTCACAGAGGCCAGGCAGGAAGGGAGCCACCAACCTTGGATGTCTCATGCTGCTGAGACAGCAGGGACCAGCCACCAGGGCCCCATCTGCTTCCCCACCCTTCATCCTGGCTGCCCTGGCCCAGCCCGCAAAGGCCAGACCCTGCCGTGCTGCTGGGACAGAGGTCCACAGCCACACCTCAGCCTTCTGTGGTGGAACTTCCTGCTGCACACACACTTCTTCCCCGGGGCTCGAGGCTGGGCCGAGGACACGTCAGGCAGGGGCTGCCGTGCACAACACTGGAGGCTACTCGTTGGAGGCTGGCAGACCTGGGTTTGAATTCCAGCCCTGAACCCTGCCTTGCTGAGTGACCCGAGCAAGTCTCAACCCCTCCTGGAGCCTCGATTTCCTCATCTGCAATATGGGGGTGACAGTGGGGTCTGCCTCCTAGGATAGCTGAGTGGAGTCAGTGAAATGCTCTGGAGAAGCCCCTGCCCAGCACCTGGCTCATACTAGGGGCTCAAAAGTGATACCAGAAGGTGCGGTGCCCCAGGGCTCAGCCCCTGGCAGGGCCGAGTGGTCTGAGGAAGCCCAAGTGGGAGAATGAACTAGTGACTGAGTGAGGCAGTGATGGAGGCTGGGGAACATCCTGGGCGGGGCCAGACAGAGCCTGATTGATGGCTCTGGGAGGCTAGTCTGCCCCCTACTGCCTGGCTCTTGCCCCAGAGCTTCTGCCATCAGCTTCTAAGAGTTCCAGAAAGTACCCTGGTGAGTGGGGCTACTCAGGTGGTGGGGGGCAAGGGGTCTGGGGATTTTCTGAGGGCAGGAATCCTAAGTCCTCCCCATTTTAAAGTCAGAGAAGCTGAGACTCAATGTCTCACTCAGGGCTTGGGCCTGCGTCTGAGGCTGTGGCCTGACTAAGGGCTCTCCCTGGTGGGCCTGTGGGGGCACCTGAGGCGTGGTGCAGGTTTGAACTTGGGAGGGTTGGGGGAGGGGTGTTGCAGCCACTCCTTGTTCATGGGGGGCACCCTCAGGGTGACAAAGACAGACCCAGACGTCCCCCGGTGGGTGCTGAGGAGGGGGGCAGCTAACCCAGCCCTCTCTGTGTTTGGTTACTTTGTATTAGCCACTCTGCCCTCCCCGTCTCCAGCAGAGCCAGTGAGAACCAGCTCCACATTTTGCAGGTGAAAATGGAGGCTCCCAGGGGTTCCTGTGATTGAGACACGGGACCGGGGCCTGCAGAGCCTGAGGCCAGCACCTCTCCTTCCTGGGGCCCCTCCGTGACCAGACCATCCCAGGCAGCTTACCCCACCTCCAGAGCTTTCTGATCTATTATTTAAATATATTAAACATATCTGATTATCTTTCTGATCAAGAAGGTCATACATGTCCCTTTAAAAAAATGCAACCACGGCAGAAATGCAAAATATAGAAAAATGTTTCCGTGTGTACCCCTCCCCCCGCTTTGAAGAGGGTGCCACTGTTAAAATGTCAAATGCTGCCCCTCCTCCTGTTGTTTGTGTCGGGGCTCCCTGTGTGTTGTCTCACACACGTATGCAGATTTGTGGGCTCCATGCCCTGGAAATCAGTGTGATTCTGAGCCAGGCCCCCAGCTCTGCCTTGTTCTTCTAAATGGGTGCACATGACTCCTTTTGGAAATGGGTTGTCGTTTGTGTCACGGCCCCTGCTGGTGGAAGCTCAGGTTATTTCCAACTTCTATGTTTTTCTGACCAAGCGGCCATGAACACCCTTGCACGCGGGACTTTTTTCAGAGAGCTTGTGGTTTCCTCCCTGTCAGAGCGCCCTCCAGAAACTCTCCCACACTCTCGTCCACCCCGAGGGCCCGTCTGAGAAAACAGAGACGTGCCATTGTCGCGGGGAGGCCATGTTCCCTCTCGTGTAGATCCTCCCTCTGCTATCGCTTCTTTGAGTCTTTTCCTGTGCGGAGAAATTTCCGGATGATGAGCAGAGGACCCCGGGCCTCCTGTGGCTGGTGGGGTGGGCCTGAGGGCCCCTTTTCCAGGAAGGGTCTGTGGGTCTCTTGGGTGACTTTTCCAGGAGGAAGTATGTGGGGTTCTCTGCCAGGCAGGTTATTTGGCCTCTGCTCCCAGGGACAGTGGTGACGTGCCAGTGAGTGTAGTTAAGGGCCAGCACCCGTGGCCTCTCGTGGCCTCAGGGCCCCGTGCCACCTGTGCCAGAACAGGAGTGGAAACTTTGGTGCTTAGCCTTGCAGCCGAGGGGAGGTGGGCAGTCCCCCCGAGTCCCAACTCTCCCGGACCCATTGCAGCTGACACCTCAGTCCCCTGCTGATAGGATTGCCACCCCACCCCAAAACCAACGCCAAACAAAACACCAGGACACCCAGTTAAATTGGGTTTGTGGATAAACACTGAATAATTTTCCGTGCAATATATGGGACAGACTTATACTAAAATCAATTTTGTTGTTTATCTGCAATTCAGATTTACCTGGGCAACCCTGCCTGCTGGCGACTGGAGAGGAGGCGGTGTGTGGGCAGAGGCCTGGCTGGCTGTTGGGCCTGAGCCCTCTCCTCCCTCCCTCGGAGCCTTGGTTTCTTCCTGCCTCCCCTACAGAGCCAGGAGCCAGTGAAGGGTCCAAGAGCTGAGGCTCCCAGCTGAGCAGCTGGGAAGGGCGGCACCGGAGACGGGGGTGGGGGGGCTGGGAATGGCTGGGATTCAAGAGGTGTGGGGTTCGTAGCCTCTCCCCCTCTCTGTAGACAGCCCTGGCCCCAGGCCTGGAGGGACAGGCAGTGGGACAGGGGCTTCTTTTCCTTCTTAGTGAGCGATTTCAATGAAGCCGAAAACGATATAAAAAGTAAACTGATGAACACCCATGTACCCGCTCCCCACTCAGCTTAGAGGTTAACACCGGACCAGGCAGTAGAAGCTTCTCCCTGCCCTACTGTCCAGCTTCGCCCTGTGTCCGCTTTCCCATCTCTGTGTGCAGCCCTGTCACCGTCTCTCCACGACTTTATCTCTCTGCCTGGACCTTGCTGGGCACCACAGAGCTGGCAGAGGCAGGGCCCAGTGTCCAAGGCCGCCCCTCAACCCTGCAGGCCTGGGGCAGTGGCGGGCTCTCCTTGGGGCCGGCCTTCTGATGCCTGCTCTGCTCTGTGCTCCCTGCAGGCGTCTGAGATGCCGCTGCCTCAGAGGAAACGCTGGGAGTCCATGGCCAAGGGGCTGGTGCTGGGAGCACTCTTCACCAGCTTCCTGCTGCTGCTGTACTCGTATGCGGTGCCCCCTCTGCACGCTGGCCTGCCCTCTGCGTGAGTGGCCCTTCTGGGCGACCAAGGGGTGTGGGTGGGGGTGAGGGGACACCCTGCACCATGCTATGCTGGGCAGAAATTCCACCGAGGACAGAACTCACCGTGTACCCTGGGTCTCCGTGTCCTCACCTGTGAAGTGAGTGTAATAACAGAGCCTGCCCAACTCGGCATGAGAAGCAGGTAGCACCGTCTGTGTGCAGGGCTTACATTGGCATCAGCTGAGGCTCCAGCGGGGCTGGGAGGTGGGGTGGCTTGTCCAAGAGCACTCAGCTGGCATGGGGCCTTCATTCAAACTGGAGTCTGTTGGAGTTTAGGAGCCTCCAAGCCTGGCTCCTAACCAGGAGGCCATCCCACCTCCCCATGGGGCCGTACGGCCCAGGGCTGGCATGGCCCATGCCCTTCGTTAGGTGGCATTCAGTTGAACTAGAGCAAATGACTGATAACTGACCATTTCTGGTCAAAAATTGACCATTTTTGGCCCACAAAATTTTCTGTGGTTCAACCTAATGACAATTCCTGATAAAGGTACAAGGACACGGTGGACACAAGTGAGACAAGAACTAGCATGACGTCTCACTCTGACCTCACACCAACCCCATGAATAGAATCTGCTGTGTTCCTGGTTTCATAGATGAGGGACGGGAGCCTGGAGAGGCCAAACGCCTGGCCCAGGCATGGCAGCCTGGATGAAGGCCTGTCTGGCCCCTGTTCTGTCCCCCATCCCACTCTCCCCAACGAACTCACTGTCTAGAGGCCAGGGCCCGAGGCTCTGACACCTGGGCCCGCAGCCCCTGAGGCTCTCCCCACCACTCTGTGCCCAGCAGGACCCCGGAAGGTGTAGCATCCTGCTCCCCAGCCCCCAGTGAGCCAGAGACGGCCACCGCTGCTGCTAACGGCTCGTCTGGAGGGTGCCAGCCACGGCGGGACATCGTGTTCATGAAGACACACAAGACCGCCAGTAGCACGCTGCTCAACATCCTGTTCCGCTTCGGCCAGAAGCACGGGCTCAAGTTCGCCTTCCCCAACGGCCGCAACGACTTCGACTACCCGGCCTTCTTCGCCCGAACCCTGGTGCAGGACTACCGGCCGGGGGCCTGCTTCAACATCATCTGCAACCACATGCGCTTCCACTACGAGGAGGTCCGGGGCCTGGTGCCCCCCAACGCCACCTTCATCACCGTGCTCCGTGACCCCGCCCGCCTCTTTGAGTCCTCCTTCCACTACTTCGGCTCGGTGGTGCCCTTTACCTGGAAGCTCTCGGGCCGAGACAAGCTGGCTGAGTTCCTGCAGGACCCCGACCGCTACTACGACCCCAACGGCTACAACGCCCACTACCTCCGCAACCTGCTCTTCTTCGACCTGGGCTACGACAGCGGCCTGGACCCCCGCAGCCCACAGGTGCAGGAGCACATCCTGGAGGTGGAGCGCCGCTTCCACCTGGTGCTCCTGCAGGAGTACTTCGACGAGTCCCTGGTGCTACTCAAGGACCTGCTGTGCTGGGAGCTGGAGGACGTGCTCTACTTCAAGCTCAACGCCCGCCGCGCCTCGGCCGTGCCCCGCCTGTCAGGCGAGCTGTACCGGCGTGCCACGGCCTGGAACGTGCTGGATGCCCGCCTCTACCGCCACTTCAACGCCAGCTTCTGGCGAAAGGTGGAAGCGTTTGGGCGGGAACGCATGGCCCGCGAGGTGGCCGCCCTGCGACGTGCCAATGAGCGCATGCGGCGCATCTGCATCGACGGGGGCCACGCTGTGGATGCCACCGCCATCCAGGACTCAGCCATGCAGCCCTGGCAGCCGCTGGGCGCCAAGTCCATCCTGGGCTACAACCTCAAGAAGAGCATTGGGCAGCGGCATGCACAGCTCTGTCGTCGCATGCTCACGCCCGAGATCCAGTACCTGATGGACCTCGGCGTCAACCTCTGGATCACCAAGCTCTGGAAGCTCATTCGAGACTTTCTGCAGTGGTAACATCCTGCCCACCCAGCGGCCCATCCTGCCTGCTCACCTGATGAGGAGGGGCCAGGCAGGGGCCTGCTGGCCTTCCCCGATCCCCTCCTGGTGCCACCTCGGTCCCCGAGGTAAGGTGGGGCTGCCGTGGGGATGCAGCTGGCCAGGACTGGGCCCAAGGCATGCGGAGAGGGCCTGAGATCAGCGTTTGATTAATTATACAGTTTTTAAAATTAAATCCCCTTTCCTGTTTCTACTTCCTGCCTCCCCTTAAAGGGGAGACTTCAGAAGTAAAGGCATTTGATGTTGTGTTTTTGTTAATCAGCCTCAGTCGTGGTGACTGCCGGGGCCCAGGTTGGGGGTGACTGGTGGGGACAGGGGACCGCAAGGGAGCATGGTTGGTGCCTGTGTGAATGTTTCTGTGCGCAGAGTCCCATGGTGTGGCAAGGATTTGGTGTGTACCAAAATTTGTTTTGATACATACTGAAGCCCTGTGTGGTTGAAGGACTCCTACAAGCTACTGAGACCTGGAAGATTGTGTGTGTGTGTGTGTGTGTGTGTGTGTGTGTGTGTGTGTGTGTGTGTGATCCTCCAGGGGACAGTACCAGCTGCTTACTCCAACTGAACACCAGTTATGTGCCCAGCACTGGGCTAAGTGCTTTGTGGGCATTATCCCAGCCCATCTTCATCCAAACTTAGCGACATGGGAACTGTTATTATCTCATGCTAGAGTTGAGGAAGACAGCTCAGAGAGGGAAAGTCACTTGGTCAAGATCACAGAGCAAGTAAGTGACAGGACTGGAGCAGGAATTGGATCAGGCAGTGTGTGGCTACATGGGGATAGAGTCCAAGTGTGTGTGTGTGTGTGTGTGTGTGTGTGTGTGTGTAACCTGCAGTTGGGAAGACCTCTGTGGGACACTGAGCAGCAGGCCCCGGGCCCGGGCTACAGGTTTCTTGCACAATCTTATTCTCACAGTAACCCTTTGAGGCAGGCACAATAATGCTGCCATTTTGCAGACGTGGGAACTGACATTCTGAGAGGGAAAGGGACTTGCTCAAGGTCACGTACCAAACCCAGAACTAAGCCATCTCCTTGGGACCCTAAACCCTTTCCACCTCCAGAGCCTGTTTACCCCATATCCACCTGTCCCTTAGTCCCCACTGACCACTCTAGGCTGCCTCACCCTCTGCTTGGCTCCCTATGGCCCAGAGTTTCCCTCTTCTGCCCTAGACTCAGTTTATTAACCAATAACTATTTGGTGTTCATCAGCTATCTGCTGTGTGCCCCCAGCCCTGAGCTGCCCCTAGCCCTGAGCTGGCCCCAGCCCTATAGCAGTCAGCAAGCTGGCCTGGGTTCCTGTCCAGAGAGGCACCGAGCAACCAAGGCACACCTGGTATGACCAACCAGGATGGGGATGCATTGACTCGAACCACCTGCCTCCCTCGGTCCCCCCAGGGGGGCAGGGGCCCTTTCTGGGACTCTTGGGTCTCTAACCAGGGGCCAGCAACCAGATGTGACAGGAGACCTGTTTGTTCCAGGCTCCGAGACAAGTGTTCACACACCTTATTAGAATAGAATATTTGCCACATTCCAGTTCTATAGACCAAGGCTCAGAGAGGTTAACTGACCTACCCAAGGTCACACAGCTAATTAGTGCCAAAGCCAGAATGCAAAGCCAGATCAATCAACTCTTAACCCCTCCCTGGGCTTCAGTCAGTCTTTCCCTGACTGAAGGGAGTGAGCTTCTGGTCCAAGCAGGATAGAAAGGGGTCAGGGTGACCAAGGGTCTGTTTCCTGGGACCGTCCCAGTTTTAGCCTGACATCCCAGGAAACTCCTTAGTTCTGGGCAACCAGGATGGAGGGTCAGTGTGGGAGCAGTTAGACCCCACCAGCCTGGAGCCATTTCATGGCCTGTACCCTCATTAATGTTCTTTGGCAGCAAGAAATAAGGATGCCCTTGAAGCCTTCATTTAATCCATATGGAGAAAACTAAGCAAAAATGAATAAATTAAAAAAAAACTGACAATAGCTTAAGACTATTCTCAGGAAAAGATGTTAGTGACCTCAAATTCATGAAATAATATTCTTTTCCTTTTATTAATTAGAGATGGATGTGACTTTAGTGCAATACAATAACGTCCTGCGTGGGTGTGTGGGAACCCTTATTTTAATTATATTTCCTTGGACAAACAAGGGCCTAGAAATGCCAATAATATTATTATTACATATAAGTTTTTAAGATAAATTTATTTAAACTGAAAGAAACAATTCACTCGTTTCTCCCATTTCCCCCCCTCCAGCAAACACCAATCTGTTCTCTGTATCTATGAGCTTTTAAAAAATGTATACATGTAATTACATTATTATTATTAATCCTGGCACTTCCAGGCCCTTAGGGATCCAAATCTGGCAGGTAGTAGGTGCTAAGAATATGTCACTTCATTAGCATTTTCTATAGTTACTAACTCATTTACCAACATAATTAAGACTGTCACAGTCAGTAGGTGCAGGTGCTTCGCGGTCACTCCGTGCCCAGCCCTGTGCCCTGCGGGAACGCGCACACAATCCCCTTTGCTCCCTCAGGAGGCGGCTGAGACACAGGCTGAGCACTCGGCACAGGGTCACCCAGCCAGGCAGCCGTGGAGGCAGGATGCAAAACCAGGTCCATCGACCAGATGCCAAGGCTGGTGGTCCTCGCGGGCCACCTCAACCTCAGAACTGAGGCTCTTTGCGGCAGAAAAAGCCTGAGGTCTCCGGGCAAGCACAGCAGACTCGCTGCTGCCACCCAAGCAAGGGCCCTGCTGCTGGACTCTCCCCCCCACCCCCGCAAGGACCCCGCAAGGATGAGGGGGGCCCTCCACCTCATCCTCAGCCTCCCGCCCCGACGCGGGCTCAGGACCCGGAGACGGTGCGGCCCCAGCAGGCCGCAGCAGTGGCGGAAAGGTGCGGGGGCTGCCCGGACCGAGGTCCGCAGCCGGATCGACCCCGCCCCGATGCCACTGCTTCTCGTCAGAGGGGACTGGACCTTGCCTGCGTGTTGCTGCCGCTGCAGCTGCTGCTTCAGCAGTTTTACTTTTAGGGGGATCTGTCATGCGACTTGCCTTTATGGCCACGTGCAGATGTTCGGTTTCACCATTAGCCAAGGCCGCCTTCCCAAGACGTCTTCTCTACCGGCACTGGCTCTCAGCAGCTCCCTCCCGGAGCCTCGCCAGACTCGATCCTGAGAGAAGCGAGGGGATGAAAGGGAAGCCTGGACTCTGCGCAGATCTCATCTTAACCGGGTTGACAGGTGTTGGTTGATGAAGAATTTTTCTCCTCTGGGTTCCTTTGTGATGGTAGAAAATCTGAAAACCTCCACTGTAAACTTCATAATCAGCCATCCACGCTTATTTTACATTTTTGTACAAGAGAGTCCCACTCTCTAAATTAGCCGAGCATTTTTGGCCTTTGAATCTGTTGGCATGAGAAAAGAGGGGGAGGAGGGAGTAGGGCCTTTATTTAAGCCCTGGAAGTTAGTTGAGGTCTCTTGTGAGGTTGTCATTCTGTCCTCTCATTCCGGTTTATGGATCTCAGGACGCTGGAAAGGCCACATTGAATAGACACCTGACTAACCAGTTGGTAAATAGTCTTCCTGTGTTGACTATTTGGAATGTGATCCAGGACAGACAGAAGTTACCCTCCAGGTTGCACTTCTTTACTTAATATTACAGACCCAGTTCTAGGACCACCTATTCACCCACCAGAGGACATCTCACACACACACACACACACACACAGTATATTCCAGGAAACCTGTTTGTAAAAACAACTATGAGAATTACAACAGGATGATAAAGCATGCCTTCAGCTCCTACAAGACAGAGTCCCTTTTTATCTGTGACGCAATGGACTTCAGATAGTCACACTTCGGGTGACAGGTGGACTTCTGCTTTTTGTGGATTTGACCCGATTGCTGCTTCTCGGCCACGTCGTTCAGTTCGGTTTGGGCTGAATATTGTGCATTCCAGACCTCTCCTCGGACTGTGTAGGCGACAGTGACGGCCTATCCACCAAAAGCAAATCCAAAATAGAAACAAAGGTTCCACCTGGCCGAATCTGCAGAGAAAGTGGAATTTGCTGACAAAGAAAGGAGAGTCTGGTTGTGTTTACTGGACAGAAACTGATGCACATCCAGGTGGACTTAGTGTTTAGGAAAAACTCCAAGCACCAGGTGTGAGGTAGCCTTGGCCAGCTGCAACCCCCAAGGCCAAAACCGCTCTGTGCCTCACGTGGTCTGACATTCTATCAGATCCCCTCCCATGCAATTGCCCTCCGGATTATTCATGCTGATGTCCCTCCTACCTGTGTACTGTGCACGGAGAATGCCAGCTGGGCTGGTCTTTGCCAGATCCTGGATGACGTCAGAGGATATGCAAATGAGCCCATCCTGCTGGCCCAGACTCCAATCTGCACCTATTTGGGGTTCGGAGTTTGTAGAGGCACTGACATGAAGAAGAGGCTTTACCCATTCTCACTCCTGTGCCCCCCGAAGAGCTAACTAAGAGGCATGAATTGTTGGCTGGCCAGAGCCATTTCCAGTCCCCACTGTGTCTTCAACAGCATGGGCTCAAAGGTACATACCTTCCGTCACGACAGACTATAATCTCAAACTTCCTGGAGCATCAGAGAAAATTGGAGCAAGAGAAACTGAGGAAATGTGTAAAAAGAAACTGCACCCAAAACTTAAACTCCATCGATAAACAAATTGATGTTTTTAACATGGGAAGGAGCTTGGAAACTGGTGTGGTTTTGTGGCTGCGAACAGCAGTGCCCTCATGTAGCAAACTATTTCCTATATAATTTGTGGATGTGTTTTCAGTAAATTTAAGTCCTTTCTTTAAGCTCCACGACCCAGTTTTACCCTAGTCTGCTGTATGCTCAATCATATGTTGTGTTTTATTTTCTAAAGCAGCAGGGAAAACGTTGTATGTCATTAAAACAAAGAATATGGTTGACTCCAAAAAAAAATTTCTTCAAGGACCTGGTTGTTGGAATCTGGATAAAAATAGGCAGACTGGAGCCACAAAAATGTACCGAGGAGGAAGGAAGTCTGGCCAGCGGGATCGAAAATGTAACAGGATGTTGGAGCCACACCCTGGTCCTCTCCTGGTGATGGCCTTGGGGGCGGGGACCCGGCCGGTTGTTCCCATCCCCTGACCATGCGATGCTGAGTTCTCTTCTATGACTGTGGGTCAAGTGTTAAGAGATCACATTTGGTGTTTAAATTTAATCAGCTTTAGCAGATGAAATTTGGAACTCCTATGGGCCCTTCTTCTTCTTTTTAATCCAATGGTTTTATGCTGAAAAAATTGCTCTAAAATCCAGGAAGCCTCTCCTGGGGCATCTTTCAAACTGGACTTGTCCTGACTGACTCCTCATCTGAGACTGAAGACACGGCTGGGCGGAGCTGGACACCAGGCTGTTTGCACAAGGCCTGGCAGGGCAGCTCTCCTGGAAAAGGCCTGTTCTTGCCTTTGAGTAGCTGGACCTGAACTTGTACATATGGACAACTCTGTGCCACTTAGTGCTGTCTCCTGGGTGTACAGGAGGCTGGTGATGATGCCATTCTCCCAGGTAGCATTTTTCCCAGATGGGGAAAAAATGGTGGAAATCTATTCTTCCTCTTCTCCCTGGTGGTCATGATTCCCTACCTTCCAGGTTGGAAGTATTTTGGTAAACAAGGATGATCAGTCTGGGTCATACCATTTCTGCGTTGAAGATGGTAAGATACTTACTGAGGAAGAATTTCAAACAGTACTGTGAATACCAGCTTCTTAACAGATTACGGTGAAGGAGGTTAGTAGGATGTACATGTTTTAACTATATTCATTTAAGTCATTGATTAGCATTGTCTTTAAGTACTCAGTATCTCATAGACCCACAGACTCACCCTCCAGGGTGAGTTTTGATACCCTAGAGACCACTTAAGGTCTAACTTCTTAATTCCGTCTTATTTATATCTAAATTTAGCTGGTATAACTCTATCTTGGCCTCATAAAGAATTTTAAGACAGTCTGCCACCATCAACTTTTGCTTCCTTCCCCATCCAGTTCCTTGCATCTTTATAATAATATTCACCATAGATCATTAGCAGCAAGTCTCAGAACTGCTGTGTCATAGGCCTTTTCATTAAATCCAGGCTTGCCTTTAGTCTGATTTCCTGTGAGTGCGGGTGTTTAAGAATTCGGTCGTCAGCCCTGATCAGTAAAGAAAACCAGTGTTGCCATTAGAGGGAGCTCTCAGCCATTGGTCACAGCTGGAGCTGGCTGAGGAGCCCATGTAGCCCTTGCTCAGGGAATACAGAGGTCGTGGAGACCTGGCTCCGTGGTCAGCTCCACGGTGTGCTGGTCAGACCAGCAGCCATGCTGTTGATCTTGGATGTTCATTTGGTTATCAATGTCGGTGGTTTGGGCTTGTTATTTCTACAGACTGTTGCGGTTCAGGATGGGTAGGAATGCGTCTGCATTGGAGTTATTATTCTTAATCATTTGTGTGTGTGAATTCCGAAGTAGTATATACTTATTTTAAGAAAATAAAAGAAAGATGTAATTTGGAACATGAAAACCCTTAGTCGTCAATTTTGTGATTCTTTAAAGTCAGTTTTTTAAAGAGAGATCCATTTATAGGAAATATAGATGTGAAAATAAATGACAAGATTCTAAAAAAAAAAAAAAAAAGTATGAGGTCTCCAAGGATCTCTACTGCTTGTAGCTTGCAGGAGCCAGACTGCTCTTGCTACACCAGGCAGCAGGAGGCGCCATGGCTCCAAATTTGGTCTTGGTAAGCCCTGACATTTCTGTCCAGCTGGGGTCACCCACAGTGACCAGTCACTTGTAGGCCTGACAGGGCTGTCCCCTGGAGAAATTCAGTGGGACCACCTCAACTGTCCCTCTGTGTTATGGGCTGAACTGTATCCCCTAAAAAGATAAGTTCAAGTGCTAACCTCCCAGTTCCTTGCAGCTGACCTTATTTGGAAATTCAGGTTTTGTACATGTAATCAAGATGAGGTCGTGAGGGTGAGCCATAACCCAATGTGGCTAGTGTTTTTATAAGCAGTGGAAATGCCGTGTAAAGACAGACACACAGGGACAACGCCAAGGAGGGCAGAGATTGGTATGGAGCAGCTGCAAGCCGAGCCAATGGTCTCCTCCAGGAGTCAGAAGAGCCAAGGAAGGATTCCACCTGAACTTTCAGTGAGAACACGGTGCTGCTAACACCTTGATTTCACCTCTGGCCTCCAGAACAGTGAAAGAATAAGTTTCTGTTGTTTTAAGCCACTCTGACCCTAACCCTAAGCAGCCTCTGGACACTAACACACTCTCCATGCTCTGTCCTCGACTTAGGTCAGGCCTCTGCCCCTCACCCGGATGCCCCCCTCGCTTCCCTTCCGCAGGCTCACCCCTACAAGACACCCTCCCCCTGCAGCCAATCTGTGCTCTGCTTGGTCTCCACCCCCCGTGGTCCCCCTCACCCTTGGGGGAGGGGGGAGTCCTGCAGTTGAGCACATCTGTGGCTTTGCACATGCTGGTCCCTTTGTCATAAGGCCCCCTCCCCTTTGCAGGCTTAACACTGCTATGTGTTTTCAAAGCAAGCTTGCTCTTTCCTGGGCATTCCGCCCTAATACCCCAGCCCCCAGGCTGACTTGGGACCTCCGGGCTCCCCCATCTCAGTGTGCTCACTCAGGGCCAGAACTGTTGACTAGCTTGTTTGCAAGCTCCCAACAGTGGACTTCTCCTGGGATTGGGTCTTACTGACACAATCGGCCTGCAGTGCCTAGGCCAAGGCCTGGCACGCCTTCAGCTCTTAATAAACATTGAAAGACAGATGATAAAAAGGAAGGGAAAAAAGGAAGGAGGGAAGGAAGGAAGGAAGGAAGGAAGGAAGGAAGGAAGGAAGGAAGGAAGGAAGGAAGGAAGGAAGGAAGGAGGAAGGAAGGAAGGTTGCCCTCCCCTCCCCAGACCCAGGGATTGAACCTGAAAACTTTCAGTACATGGGACAACACTCCAACCAACTGAACCACCCAGCCAGGGCTACCATTAATCATTTAAAAGACGTTTGCCATCTTTAAAATGGAAAACAATATTTATTATTGTTTTACGTGATTTCTTTTCTGACTGGTGAGATTAGAATTTTTTAATGCTCTAATTTTTTACTTATTGCCTCCCAGTGTCTCACTCATTTTCTGGAAAAGTATTTTTGTTATTGGTTTATAAGTGCTGTTTACATATTAAGCACATTGACCTTTCCTGTCATTGTTGGCAAACACTTTCCCAAGTCTGTAGTTGGCCTGCTATTTTAAAATTTTGACTCAGTGTAATGTTATCACATTTAGGGGGCTTTCCCATGGACTTCTCTGTTACTTTTATGCCTAAGCAGTCCGTACCTATGCAAGGGCATGTGGGCATTCACCTCTGCTTTCCCCCCAATGCCCTTATTTCTTTGTCTGTGGACCACCCTGCTGTCTTAGAGCATCTTGCTGGGGTGGAGCCGACACGAACTTGGCCCCCAGTTCTGAGGGTGCTGGAGCTGCAGGAGCTGAGGGCAGGGGTTGATGTCAATCATCAAGGGAAAGGGAAGCCCAGGTCAGAGTCAACCCATCTTCAGCCTCAGGTTCCAGGAGGTCCTGGGCTGAGTCCCTACCAATGTGGCCCTGTGGGCCAACACCTGGGGCAGAGTGCCGGGTCTGGAGGGTCAGGCTTTGGGGCAGGAAATTTTCAACATGGGAACATATCCTGAGGCTTCAATTTAGACCAAGAGTCTCTCGCTTTGTGTCTTGGCGGGCACCGGGAGCGCACCAGACAGGGGGTACAGTATGCCACAGGACAGCCCTGGGCTTGCCCCCCTGCCTTCTGCCAAGC